TCTACACAGACCGGAATCTTGCCGAGACACGGAAGCTTGTTGGTTTGGTCAATGAAATCCGCGCCCGATTCCAGCAACTTCGACAAGTCGACGAAATTGGCCATCTGCAGCCACTGATCGATATTGTGTTATCTTGTGATAAAATTTTACAACTTGGACATTCAGACCCTCTCGCTAGCACGATACCGAAAGTCGAGCAGTTACATGCCTTCGTGTACGAATGGCAATTTGGCGGCTGGGCAAGCAAAACTTACGGCGTGTTACCGCTATACAACAGACTGACGGACTTACTTGTTAGTTGGCGCCGCCTGGAACTCTCAACATGGGGAAAGCTGTTTGACATGGAAGTTAAGAAGAGCGAAGAGGATGCTAGTTCCTGGTGGTTCATCGCTTACCAAGCCATCATCGCTGCGCCGCTAACTCTAGCCCAGGATGGAGAGGATCTTTCGCAACATGTCTCTGGTCTATTGAGGGAGCTAGAAACGTATTTCTCTTCGGCGCCCGTAGGGCAATTTGCTAGTCGCCTTGGCCTCCTGAAGCAACTTTACAAACAAGTTGAGCTGATCACTTTGGATTACCCGTCGATGTCAATCATTCAGGATGGCCTCCATAATTTTATTAGCTTCTACTCTCGGTATAATAAGACCGCAGAGGACTTAATACGTGTTGGCAGGAGTCCTCTAGAGAAGCAGATGAAAGACGTTCTTCTTTTGGCGAGCTGGAAGGATACTAATATCGTCGCGCTGCGAGAAAGCGCACGGAAGTCACACCATAAACTTTTTAGGATTGTGAAGAAGTTCAGAGAAACACTCGGCCAGCCTATGAAGCCAATTATTGATGGTGGTCTACCAGATGAGGTACTCGACGAGGCCGCTACAACTGAGATTAAAACGGAAATTATGCCAATCGACAAAACCGCAATTAAGCTGTGCTCTGAAAGCATTCCTAGTTGGGAAGACGAGTACCGGAGGTTAGCGAATACCCAGAGAACGACAGGCATCATGAGTAGGCTGAGCCGTATTCCAGAGTCTGCTCTCGATGCCGGCGAAGCAATTAACTCTTTCCTATCCAATCTCGAGGAATCTGCCGCTGAACTTCGCAAGGAGACCCCTAGCACTCTCACTGAAGAAAACAAGGCATTGGTTAAGCATTTGAAGTCGCGTAAACGAAAACTATTTGCGGAGACTTTGAAGGGCGCTAGGCAAATGGGAATTCAGTATAATCTCGGTACTGATGTTCTCTCCCAGCAAGATGCGCTTTCTACAGTACTTGCTACGTCAGACACACTCGCTTCGCAGGCCTTCGAGGAATTCAAGAGCACTGATTACTACTTCCACAAGATGCTTGACCTCACACCTCGGGTCCGACGTGCATACAACGAGCACTCGGATGATCTGACTATAGCAGAGGTTGACAGAAGTATTGGATTCCTTGAAGGCATACTTCATGTTGCGCTGAATCAAAGACGTGGATTGGCAAAAGCGCTGAAACTTCACGGCGCACTGACATCCTCTTCGAAGCATATCCGCTCCGTTAGCAATTTGCGGGGAAGCGATAAAATCAAAGTCGGATCGTTATCTGCTAATTGCGAGAGAGTCTGTGCTTGGCTTGTCCAAATTATCAAAGTGGGAAGACATCTTGTCGAGCTACACGCAAAGTTCGGGAATTTGGACCATAAGGAGCTTCTCCGACAGCTTGATGGCAGGTTGGTTGAATTTACGAATTGGTCTTCCGAATGGAAATCACTTCCTATATTACCCAACAACCTTACCTCACCTGCAAGGTCCCAATTAGAAGCCAAGATCCGTTCGTCTCTTAATCAATTCCGGAATGAGATAGATGACGGGTGCCGACGATGGCCAGTATTGGCATTCCTACTGGAGCAAATCAAGCTATGGACTGCTGTGGATGAGCAGCCGATATCTATTTCGATTATGGAAACTAAACAAATCGAAGTTATTCTTGATGCCTCTAAGAACCTTTGCGATAGTATTCTTGTCACTATTGAGCAGCTCAATAAGACAATGATCAAGTTGCCTGTTTCGCAAGAGGAAGCCGGATGGCTGATAAAGTATGGCGAGGTTATGGCTGATTCCCTAAAAGTTCTACGTATAGATAAAGTCGAAAGAAGCATAACAGAGCTTCTAACACTTTTCGCCCAGGTCAATTTGACTGACCCCTCCGTTAACCAAATCTCAACGGCCCTGATGGCAATTGTGGCACCGATAGTAGACCAATATCAAGTTACTTGTAACCAGATGATCGGGTCATTCGCGCGTGTCCATAGAAACACTTGCAAGCTTGGCTACAAATTAAGCAAGAGTTTTACCCAGCTCGCCTCCCAAGGCTTCTGCACTCCTCAAGAGAAGTCGGACGAAAAATCCGGAGAGACTGGGGAGCTTGAAAGTGGCACAGGTCTCGGAGAAGGTGAGGGCGCCGAGGATATCAGCAAGGATATCCAGCCCGATGAAGACCTGTCCGAATTAGCACAGGAGAAAAATCAAGAGTCTAAACAGGAAATGGAAGACGAAAAGGATGCTGTTGACATGGCTGATCAGGAGTTCCAAGGCGACGTCGAAAGCGTAGACGGCGGTGACGACGATGAAAAAGGATCCAAATCTGGCGACGATGATGAAAATGGGGATGAAATGGATGAGGAAGCCGGTGAAGTAGACGACCTAGATCCCTCTGCAGTCGACGAGAAGATGTGGGATGGGGAGAATGAGGATGATGCAGAGAAGGACCAGAAAGGAGAAGACGCGAAAGGACAGAAGAAGAAGGACGAACAAGTCGCTGCCGAAGCACAGCCAGATACACAGGAAGTCGAGGAAGGAGAAGATGGTAGCCAAGGAGATGAAAATCCTGATGAGAATCCTGCCGCGGAAGAGGACGAAGATATCCAGCAGCAGGATGAAGCGAATATGCAGGACCAAAATGTCCAAGAGCAGGACACCTTGGCATTGCCTGACGACATGAACATCGATGGGAACGATAACGATTCAATGTCCTCAATAAGTGACGATGATCTAGATAAGCTCTCAGACGTGGACCAGGAAGAACAGAAAGACAAGCAGATGAGTGACCAGGAAAGCGAGACGAACGAGGATGTGGAGATGGACATGGCGCCTCCAGACGCCGGTAATGATAATGAAGAAATGGACGAGAACGCGGATCAGGACGAAGAAGCTAAGATCCAAGAAGACGAACAAGCAGAGGAACCGGATACACAAACAGAAGAGCAGGAAATGGCTCAGTTGCCATCTAATGATGAAGCCAATGCAGCCAACGAGGATGCTGCGCCAAGTGACGTGAAGGGAGGCGGACAGGACCTGGATCCAAACCAGATCGAAGAGGCTGATAATGCTGAAAGTAATGCTGCCCAGCGAGAGGATGGGGAAATGGGCGAGAATGCAGCGGATCAGGACGCATCGGCTGGTAAGAAGGGAAGCGTCTCGAAAACTCAAGAGCAACCTTCTCAGACAGAGCTTGATGATACCAAGGATTCATCGACTAGTCAACCTTTCAAGGCACTTGGGGATGCTCTGGAGAAGTGGCACAGGCAACAGCAAGAGATCAAAGAAGCTCAGGAACAAGAGCCACAAGAACAATCGGCAAATGCTGAACCGGAATCAACAATCCGGGAGTTCCAACACATCCAAAACGACGAGTCTGCTGCAGATGCTCAGGCAATGGGCACCTCAAATGAAGAACAAAAACAGCAGATTGATGAATCGATGGCAATTGACGAGGACGACCAAGCTGCAGACAATCGAATTATTCCAGAAGATGAGACCGAGACGAATGATGTAGACACGGATAAGATGGATATTCCAGAGCCCCAGGACCAGCAAGACCAGCAAGATGCACAGAAGGAAGAAAGACCTAGTGGAGTATCAACTCACCAAGGCGCTTACAATCGAGATACAACACCTCCGATGGACGGAGAGGAGCCTTTAGAGGAGGTGGAGGAAGAGATCGAAGAGACTTCTACGCAGTTGTCGATAACTCATCTATCAGAGCCAAGCTTAGATCTAAGAGACTTTGACGAAACCATGCAGCAATGGACCTCATTTCAAAGCAAAACTCACCCGCTATCACTATCTCTAACTTCTCAATTACGTCTTATTCTGACTCCATCTCAGTCGACAAAATTGTCTGGATCTTATCGAACAGGAAAGCGTCTCAATATAAAGCGAATAATTCCTTACATCGCTTCTAGCTACAAGAGGGACAAGATTTGGATGCGCAGGGCCATCCCGACCAAACGCTCTTACCAGATCCTACTCTGTGTCGACGACAGCAAGAGTATGGGCGAGTCCAGCTCCGGCGAACTAGCGCTCGAGTCCCTCGTCATGGTCTCACGAGCTCTTACGATGTTGGAAGTGGGCCAGATCGGCGTTCTAGGCTTTGGCGCGAACACTTTCATGGCTCACGACTTCACCGAGCCGTTTGCCTCTCACGACGCCGGCGCCAAGGTGCTTCAGAAGTTCACATTCCAACAGGACTACACAAACATCGAACTCCTCATCAAGCAGACAATCGAACGTTTCCGGCTCGCACGCGCCCAAAGCACTAGCCGAGGCTCCGAGGACCTGTGGCAGTTAGCGCTCATCCTCTCGGACGGACTGACACCCTCAGCGGCCCACGAACACATCCGCGTGCTGCTGCGCGAGGCTATGGAGGAGCGCATCATGATTGTGTTTATCATCATGGACGACACTGCATCTGGTAAAGACAAGGACAAGCAGAGCGTCGTCAATCTCAAGAAGGTCCGATTCATGGGTAACGACGAGATCCGCACCGAGTACTACCTCGACACGTTCCCGTTCCAGTACTATCTCATCGTGCACAACCTCGAAGATCTCCCTGGAGCGTTGGCGGGACTGCTAAGGACGTGGTTTGCGGAGGTTAATTCGTAGGTATGGTTGGTTGGTTGTGTTATAGTATGGTATAATGCTGGCGTTAATGTTCGTGCTGGGGAGTTCAGGAGTTGGGGATTTGTGAAAATAAAAAAAGGGGTGATTAGTCCGCTTGGGCTACGTGTTGATAGGTGTTTACAATATATACAGATATTTTCTTCAGTTAAACTACTTTCTGTTTCATAAATCCGTCGAAAAATGACATTATGGCGTCAACGTCTTCTAATGAGCAAATCTTGGATATATCTAGGTAGTGTAGCATGAGCACTTATACTAAGATTGAATAGATGTGAATAATCACTTACAGTGATCTGGTCGAACAATGATTACCGCACCTCGGTTAGGATCTATCCCATATACTTCATACGCGTGTCCAGATGGCGAGTTGTATCCATCGTCGTCGGAGAAGACTTTAGTGAGAGCTATGCGTGTATTAATTAGTATCAATTAGTATCTAGTAATATAGTCCTTGGGGTGTAGAGGGTATTCGCTTACACTTCATCTTCCATTTGCTTACGATAGGTGTGAAAACAGGAGGGATACGGTCTAGTTCAACTTCTGTACGTCCTGATGAGAACACGAGTATAGGGTTGATGACTGCATCACGGTCGACGTCTGGCGGCGTGAAGGCATCGATAATCTTCTGTAAGCCGGATGAAAACTACACACGCTAGTTAGTGCTTTACTTTCTAATTAATCACAGTGTTGAATAGGGGCATATACGAACATTCTGTAACCGCGTTATAATTCTAGAATCGCGTATATCCCCGGGAAACACTAAGACATGCCACCGGGATTGGGCCGGTAAGAATCGGACCAGTTGCATTACGCGAGCATCGGCGAAGCGGATTACTGGAACACTCGGGAGTCTCATCCCGACGGTTAAGCCGGTGGCCAAGGAAGCTTCACTGGTCTTTGCAGAAACTATTATAGAGTCGTTGTAATTGACAGCTTGGCCCGCGGTGTACTGAGCAGACAAGAGGAACTTATCGTGGAACTGCTCTGGCGTAATACCGTGCTCCTTACGATAGGTAGATGAGAAGAGCTTGGTCCAGGTCCGATCAAACTCGATCAGTTCCGCAGCGGTCTTCTGTCGTTCTGAGACATACGTCTCAAGTAACTCCGGCTTGGCTTGTCCTCGGATGACAGCCGCTAACTTCCACCCGATGTTATAGCCATCCTGTAAACTGACATTCATCCCTTGTCCCGCTTTGGGAGAGTGAGTATGGCAGGCGTCGCCGCTTAGAAATACGCGGTAATCTTTCTGGAAGTGGTCGGCAAGGCGTTGGCCAATAGAATAGGCAGACCACCATGCTGTTTCGGCTACTTCCAGATCGTACGGACGAAGAATCAGCCGGAGCTTTTCGTGAAGCTCTTCTAGCGTGACGTCTTTTGCAACTGCACCCTTCAGCTCGATGTAGAAGCGAACTAGCAGATCCCCTTCTCGGGGTATGATGATCAGGTTACCTGCTCCCGACTGGATCATGGCTTTCTTGCGGATGTCAGGGAAGTTGGTTCGGGGATAGATATCCATCACTCCCCAGACTGAATCACTCGTATCGCCGACCATCTTAAAGCCAAGCGATTTCCGGATAGCGCTGTGAGCTCCGTCACTGCCCTGGTATGTGCGTTAGGGGCTACAAGAAACGCCGATGGCACAATTGCCTACATAACAGAGAGGGATGATTTCTTACTAGAACGTATTTCGTACGGTATTTCCGCTCCGTCCCATCTTTCAACACTCCCACAGTAACGCAATATGCATCGGGATCCCACGCATTCTCGCTATCAACCTCTACGCTCAAGACCCCGCAACCATACTCGACGCACGACCTTCCTGCCACACTCTCCATCTCGTTCGTGAGTAATTCGTTCATCCTAGCCTGGCCGAGGAGGACGTGCGGTAGATGGCTTACGCCGGGCAACCTATCAGCAGCATAATGCGTGCGCCTGATTTCGGTGCCACCATCTTCCGGAGCCCAGAATGCTAGCTCGGAGGCATGGTAGGCTTCATTGAGAAGAGTATCGGAAAGTCCGAAGCTCTCGAATATTTCCGTCGTTCGGCACTGAACTCCGTCGGCTTGCCCCCTTTCGAGCGGCCCGTCCCGTTGTTCTAGGATCCGGAAACGGATACCGCAGCGGGCGAGCCAGACTCCGGCACATAGACCGGCGGAACCGCCACCGCATATGAGTACGTCTGCTTGGTCTTCCATGGTGGATATGAGAGCTAGTAATCTAATGCGTCTGGATTAATGATATTATATTGCCTATAGATAGATAGATAGAATACATGTTTAAACGTCAACGGATACAAGACGGAGACAGGACTGACGCCTGCATGAAATGCGGGGGAGACGGCCGCGAGAGCGCAATACAAGAATGTTCATTTGCCGTGTGAGGGTTATCTTCAACCCGCAACTATGCCTTACTCAATCCACGAGACATGTTACCTATCTGCTAGACTGTTGGCGTGTTTATACTTACCTATTTACAAGTTGTAGAGTTTCGGGATTCAAATGATAATCTGCTACCTCGGAATTGTATCCGAAAGCTGTTTATCTCCGTGGCGGCTGGACTTCGGTCGGCGCCACTGATTCTTAGCTTATGGTCAAGCGATATTTCACGAGGTGGATCTAGAAAATATGGAAAGAATATTGCTATAGCTCTAGCTTAAGTTACGGGAGTTTATGGCCATACGTCTTGGGGGCATACTTTGCTCTAGTCGTGTTAGTTAAAGTAGATAATTAATGTAACTAGGAACTATATATGAGATAGATTTACATGATAATTTCTTAACAATAAAATACTTAATGCCAAGATACTTGGAACTTGCACGTCTGATTAAAGCAGCGATTTCAATTGGATAGTCGAAAAAGTATAGATCAAGTGCACCGAAACCTCTTCATCTTTATTTTTAATATGGGCCGGTCGGAACAGAGGGGCCCCACTTAATCCCCGAAGCCCAAGAATAAATCCCGAAAGGGGGGTAACCCGTGCGACCGGCCAACCCGGCTTCGTCGGTTACTGCAGGTACTAGCCTTAATAAGCCCGGCCAAACAGGATACTAAAATAAAATAGGTGGTGAGTCAGGGGCGCCTTTTTTTAGCCTCACCCTAAGTAAGTAAGCTGGCGCTGTCGGTGAGAATAAGAAAAGACGCAAAGTGGATTACATCGGGCCGTGTTATTTTCGTCATCTAGACGTCACTTTTACACTTTTTATATATCAACATGTTTTCATCTTCGAATTATATGTTTTATACGAGGCATCGGAGTTGTCAAGGTCACCGGATCCAGACTTGATCGAGAACAATTCTCTGCTATCTCGTGTATGGGTAACCCATCATGGCAACGACACCTTCAATGAGTAATACCGTTAGGGCAAGTCATCGTTTGCTGACCAGAAGCTCAGTTGCGTTATCGAACCCTCCTGGAATCGATCATCATCTACAATACATTCCCCGCGGCTTGCGGAAAGCCAGCACCACCACCCAAAATGGCCGTAAAAAGGAGCGAGTGGTGATTCTGGGTTCCGGATGGGCTGGCTATGGCTTCGCTCGCAGTCTCGACCCTAAGAAATATGAGCGTATCATGATTTCTCCTCGATCATACTTCGTCTTTACTCCTTTACTTGCAGGTACCGCGGTCGGCACTCTAGAATTCCGTGCTGTCACAGAACCTGTCAGGAGACTCGGTCTAGATCAGTTTCACCAGGGGTGGGCCGACGATATCGACTTTGCGCATAAAGTTATCCGCGTAGAGGCTAATACGTCAGACGATATCGCTTCAAGGACCCGGCTGGCTATTAAGCATCGTCCCGACAGTGCCGATAAAGGGGCCCTGTTCGACGTCGAGTATGACAAACTCGTTATTGCCGTTGGTTCGTACAGTCAGACGTTCGGCATCGAAGGTGTGCGAGAGCACGCTAATTTCTTACGGGATATCGGCGACGCCAGGAAGATCCGGATGAAGGTGCTGCAGAACTTCGAAAAGGCGGCGCTCCCAATTACATCCGACGAAGACAGGAAGAAGCTACTCCATTTCGCGATTGTAGGGGGCGGACCAACCGGCATAGAGTATGCTGCCGAGCTACACGACTTAGTACGAGACGATCTAACGAAAACCTACCCGGACTTGATGAAATTCGTCAGCATTACTGTGTACGATGTAGCACCGAAAGTGCTCCCGATGTTCGACAAGACCCTGGCCGACTATGCTATGGACAGGTTCAACCGCGAGGGCATCAAAGTGAAGACAGAACACCACTTAACACGAATCCGGCCTGATGAGGACTGTGAGGGTTGTCTAAAACTAAAGATCAAGGAGTGCGGCGAAAAGGAGATCGGTGCTGGCATCGTGGTATGGAGCACAGGGCTGATGCAGAACCCACTCATCCAGAAATTGGAGAGCAAGATCTTTAAAATGCCGGGCTCAGAGGTTGATATGCAGCTACAGAAGGACTCAAAGACGGGCGGCATCATCACAGACGCAAACCTCCGCGTGAACATGATTCCGCATGCTGCCGCATCGGACTCGGTCCCTACTCAGGAGCAAAAGGCCGCACTGCTACCCGATGTTTACAGTGTCGGCGATTGCACGGTGATCTCGGGGATGAGCCTACCCGCTACGGCGCAAGTTGCCAGCCAGCAAGCAGCGCATCTCGCTAGGAGGTTGAACAAGGGCGACGTGGATCAGAAACCCTTCAAGTTCCGCAATTGGGGCACCATGACCTATCTCGGCAGCTGGACGGCTATTCACCAGAGCAGCGCCGACGAGTTGAAGGGCTGGATGGCCTGGGTGCTATGGCGTACTGCGTATCTGACGCGAAGCATGAGCATCAGGAACAAGATCACTGTCCCGTTTTATTGGGCTATGTCGTGGATATTCGGGCGGGATATTTCTAGGTTCTAGGAAACCTCTGGGGAGACTGGCCCCTTTTATTCTTTTTTTCATTATATTATACACCCGCATCTCTCCTTTTAACAGTATTGTAGAAACATTAGACCTGGGGAACGGATTTGTTCGGGACTAGCATAGATTTTATGAGTTGTATGATATCAGGCTGTTACTAGTAGACGAAACCTCTAGGTTAGATTAATTCAGTATTTATCTATGGCACATATTATACCTCAACGTTTCGGAGATAGATATATTGAAGTAATGATCGACTACCTAATGAATACTTCAAGGGATACGAGAAAATGTACCACGAGAACTGTCGAGGCATAATAAAAACGTGAAGTCATCCTAGTGCTTGGAGCTTTATATACCTCCATACAACATTCGAGTAGCTACTAATGTCCAATACAAGAAATGAATCGGTCATGAGTAAGAACTTTCTGTCAGAAAGTAGTACGCTTCCCGGACCGGCCCCTACATACTCGTAATATATTATATTTCAACCATCGGAATCAAACCCATTGCCTCCAAAATATCAGTTGCATTTCTCCCCGAACACCTTTGTATGATTCATATTCTTCAAGTCCCATTGCTAGTTGTCTTTGGATGAGCGCTTGGTTTTGGTTTGTGGTTGGTCAAGATCATCTGCTGCCTGTCTTAGATTATTAGCCTGTGAACTGAAGAACAAGGTAGTTGTGAATGGTGGGCTGTTACTGAACGCTTGGAATTTCCCGTCGATGGTGTCAAAGTGATGTTCTCCGGCATCGCGATTTTGATGGGAAATATCAATTGGCCAAGTTCTCGGTGCATAATGATATTAGCATCATTCGGGTTGTCGAAAATTTTACGATTGAGATCGAGGACGTCGATCATTTCATCGGCAGCACCATGGAACATGCTAAGTCCATCAAGTACTGCGGCAAACCGGATTAATAATTAATAATTGCTCTAATAGTCAAGGATGTGTTACAAGGCTGGGGGCTACTTACGATAGTACCAGGGGGAAGGCCCAGCAGTTCTACCAACTAGTCGCTCGTCTGTTAGCCGGCGGTAGAGATCGCAGGGAACCGGTTATATAATTCACATACAAAGCAAGCACCAAAGCGTATCAAGGAACTTGATACAGAACCAATACACAGAAACGTTGCCATACTCGTTATAGCAGCACCTAGAAGCATCCACTACAGAAACAAGCCAATATTCTTGTACAAACTCGGGGCTAAGCTTCTCTCTGATGAAGTCGAAAGCCTTTTTGAAATCAAGTTCCATGAGGTTTAGCACGATATTGTCAATGCCTGCTTGAGAAGCAGCCTGGCGTAGAATCACGTGTTTTCCTGAATGGGACCGATGTGGAAGAGATGGGGCTGAAGACTGCATCGTGTAGACCGAAGGGTGGAGTTTGGTGGAAACAGAAATGAAAGAAGAAGTTGGGAGAGACTTACAACTGGAAGGTCGAATATAAAAGGCGCAAAAACCGGGTTTGCTACCAGAGGAAAATGCATGATTCTATAGCATACATAACTAATTGTTCACTTCAAGGTTAAACATATACTTATAGAAAAACAAACATAGATACGTCAGCGGCCAGGTTCATAGACATACGTACTGGTCCTAACGCGCAAGGTGAGAGTGAAATTTTTTTTTTCGAAAGCTTGTGCTTCTTCCTTTATATGACCGTCGAGAATATGGTACGCTAGTCATTTGCTATTTGCTATATTACATCTTTATAAAAAGGGGGTTTAATATATATATTTTCTATAGTTTTAAGTTGTGAATAAATACCTAAGTTATTTAATTTATATATGTTGGTTAGTTATACTGTAAATTCCATGAGAACATCTTTTAGTGGTTTAACTTTTCAACTGAAGAAATTATATATGAGGTTTTGAAGGGTAGTTATTGAGGGTTAAATTCACAAACTCCAGGTTCCGGGTAGCCGAAGGCTTAAAATATCATTTTCACAGCTGAGAAATTCACAATGCACGAGATAGTAGCTATTACCCTCAAGGAAGTCCTGTTACGGCTGAGTTGTATGACCCCAACATAGAAAAGTAAAGTGATCAACTGGAGAATTACAAGGGAGTAACCTAGTTAAGGGATATAACGAGAAAGGATTGATTATAATACAAGCTGAAAGTCAACTGAGGCGGCTGGATCCGTGATAACTTCACTTCACATAAATTTCATTATTGGTTGTTTGTGTCTTGACTCAGGGGGATTAGGCCGGCATTAGCTTTATCTGGGAAGCTTAACTACCATTCGCTCGTTGTAGAATGTATATGTATGAGAAATTTATAGCGCTATATTTCATAGTAATATAGCCGTGAACCTCCCAAGTCTTCAGATAGCTTTTAAAGTTGCTAGAAGAAGACCAGACATATTATCTTATCAAGCCTTATCGTACTGATGTCTGCGCTGCGCTATTTCTATTTCGTGCTAGTGGATAGGCACTGCATTATCGGCAAAGTCTGATTTGTTGGGTTACATTGGCGGGACGCGATAGAGGCGCAAAGTTTCAAAATCATGCAGCTTTTGGTAATGACTAGCAGCACGATGAACCGTTGAAAATACGTTTGCTGATATGGTTTCTCATTTATATGAATATGAATGGGAAATGTGTTCTTTACTCGTATGAAAAGTTCCGTACTTAATATATGAAGCAAGGATCTTAGTTAATGATGTATTATGGTCGGCAGTTGTACATTTCAAAGGACAAAGGACGTACTTACATAATATACAAAATACCTATGTCAGGGCGCTTAGAAATTACGTAGGTAAGTCTTGTATGTACCTAGCCTAAGAGGATGTGGGGTGGGGTACCGAAAGGTAAAAGGTAAAAGTCGTACGTACCTGCAGTCTACAACAACTCAGCCTTGTAAATTTCTTTCCTTAGAACAAGAGCTAATTAAATCTGAGATTTCTTAGCACATTTTAGAAAACCCTCCAAGCTAGTCAAGGATAAGTCGCCCCAGTCCGTATCAAGACTAGATACACCGGTTGCGCATCCACCTCTAGTGTCGTTATCCAAAGGGTCCAAGATCCAAGGTCCAAGGTCCAAGGTCCAAGGTCCAAGGTCCAAGGTCCAAGGTCCAAGGGTTCCTCAAAAACTGCCCCGCCAAATATTTTCCTACTTCAAGAACCAACCCACTTTACCTCTACAGCCATTTTCTCTGCAAAGAAAACATAAGGCTGCCTATCTGCTTCATTCCCGTTACTACTTTTTACAATGGCGTCACCTGGTCCGGGTGCCGGTAGCGACGATGTCGATTTGTACGGTAAGTTGTCTGCTTGCTTATATCACGACTTTACATGCGCAGAATTTGATTGCTGACTCAACAACTCCAGAGCTTCTCGGAGTTGACAAGACTGCGAGCCAAAATGACATAAAGAAGGCTTACCGGAAGGTGAGGAACCCCCGCGTCTGTCTTGACTTCGCGCGTGACGTACTGACTGAATTGTCATATTCTAGCTCGCACTCCAACATCACCCCGATAAAGTTCCTGAAGACCAACGAGTAGAGTCTGAAGCCAAGTTCAAGTCGGTTACTCAAGCCTACGAGATTCTTCGAGATGAGGAAAAGCGTGCCTTATACGACAAGCATGGCATGGCAGCCTTCGACCCATCAAGGGGAGGGGGCATGGGCGAAGAAGTAGATATCAACGATATACTCGCTCAGATGTTTGGCATGGGAGTGGGCGGTGGCATGGGAGGTCCCGGAGGAGGACCCAGAAGGCCCAGGCGCGGCGCCGACGAGGAGTCCAAGTACTCCGTCAGTTTGGAGGATCTCTACAAGGGCAAGACTGTTAAATTCGCAGCCAACAAGAACGTCATCTGTGGGACTTGCAAGGGAACTGGCGGCAAAGAAAAGGTCAAGGCCCAACAATGCGATCGCTGTAAGGGACATGGTATGGTAGAGGCCTTCCGACAAGTCGGCCCTGGTCTGGTCACTCGTGAATCCGCCGTATGTGATAGGTGTCAAGGCTCTGGCAACTACTTCAAAGAGAAAGATCGATGCAAGAAGTGTAAAGGCAAGCGGACCGTCCTGGAGACGAAACCGCTAGAGATCTATATTCCTCGTGGCTCGCGCCAAGGGGAGCGCATCGTGCTGGAGGGCGAAGCTGACCAGAGCCCCGACCAGACCCCTGGCAACCTCGTGTTCGTTCTTGACGAAGAACCCCACGAGGTATTCAATCGGATCGGTAACGATCTTTCTGCTGACCTGGATATTACTGTTGCTGAGGCCCTATGTGGGTTTTCTCGTGTTGTCGTCCAGCATCTTGATGGCCGAGGTATCCATATCAACCATCCTCGAGGAAAGGTCCTACACCCAGGACAAGTACTCAAGGTGGAAGGAGAAGGAATGCCGGTGAAACGGGGAGATTCCAAAGGTGATCTATACCTTGTAGTTAAGATCGAGTTTCCCGAGGACGGATGGCTCAAGGACGATGCAGCGTACGAATCTCTTCAGAAGCTACTACCTGGCCCGCCACCGGAGATCAAAGCCGAGGAGATTGATGATGTTGCATACGAAGACGATGCGGATATTGATGAGGTATGTCGTACTCCATGAATTGCCGACAAGAGTAGAATATACTTATACTGACTTTGTATTAGATGGGTGCCAACTCTGGGGATCCGCGATTCGGAGATGGGTGGGAGGATGACGATGACGAGGCCGGCGGACAAGCACAATGTGCCCAGCAGTAATGAATTATGAGACATGAGCTTCGATTGGTGAAGACTGGAAACAACGTGAATGCGGGTCAAAGTTACGATGAGGCATATGTATTCCTCCATCATTCGATTTAGTTGCATAACCGAGTTATGGAGAGGAGTGGAAATAGGATAGATGGTGGCAAGAAAAATCCAGGTAGGGTTTCTTTCCTAGGAGAATTAACGGCATATCTCCTTTCGACCTTTCTAATAGCAATTATGAATTCTGGCTAGGTGGAGTTTCTTGTTAGATAGGTAGGTAGTCTCCTACCTTAGATACTCAGTAGCTTGTATAGACCAGACATCCATCTCTGGGTGGTATATTGCTGTCGTGGTAATTAGTAGGCCCTGAAATAAAGGCAGTATTATATTAAGAGGTGATAAGAAATAAGTGAAGTTGAGTTGAACTGAAGTGAAAGATTACTTAAACAAAATGGAATTAATTTCGTACCTAGGTACCTACCTATCTAATGTAGGTAGCCTTGAGATAGAGAGTTGGAATTCTTGACTTTACGCACTGGTTTAATTGGGTACTTGGATACGTAACCTCCATGTAATCCGTACCTACATACCTACCTAACCTAGGTACCTACCTGGTGGACCTATTAGAGTAGGTAAGCCACTTGGGGCTGAAAGAGGGTGAATGATTCAGGTGGCTAGTGGCTACCAGTGGCTAGGTAGTGCTAGGGCCAAGCCGAGCCAAAAATTTTGGGTTTTCAATTACCCACACGTGATAAATTTCACCAACCCTAACAAAAACCCTTAGCGCAAAATTCGGCTATTGTGCCCATTGGAAACTTTCGGTCCCTCTACACGTAACGTACCTCAATTTTTGCGGTAGAGACCAGCAGCCCATCACCATACACCCACCCATCTCGACACCTACAGGAAATCAGTCAAGGTAAATAAATCTCTGCTACCATTGCGGCTACGCTACTCTTTTGTCAAAGATAATTCTTAGCTAACAGTTATTCCCTCAAGATGGTTGCCGCCAAGAAGCACGTCCCGATCGTCAAGAAGCGTACGTTCGACTCTTTCCCCGTTACCTTTCCTCGATTGATGCGATGCGCTGCGGCTATGGATTGGGGATATGGATGATGAAGTAGTGAGGGAGAAATATTGACGGATTTTACTTTATAGGAACCAAGACCTTCAACCGCCACCAGAGCGATCGGTTCAAGTGTCTTTCCTCCAAATGGCGCAAGCCTAAGGGTATTGACAACCGAGTCCGACGACGATTCCGTGGCAACACTGCCATGCCCTCGGTACGTGCGATTTCCTGTTTAGATGATATCTGCCCTCGAAAATATCTCAAGCTCTGGATATTTAGATGTGGTGATATCGGGTGGGAGGAACAATATGCTAATATAGATTTTGCGATACAGATCGGTTTCGGCTCCAACAAGAAGACCCGTCACCTCACACCCTCCGGCCACAAGGCCTTCCTCGTCAACAACATCAAGGATGTTGAGCTTCTCCTGATGCACAACCGTACCTACGCCGCAGAGTACGTGCCTGAAAATTTGCATCGAAAGGTGGTTTCGACCCGGATGCGACTAGGTTAACTAACAATATTATAGGATCGCCCACAACGTCTCGTCGAGAAAGCGAGTCGATATCATTGCCCGAGCGAAGCAATTAGGTGTCAAGGTCACCAACGCCAAGGCCAAGGTCACCACGGAAATTTAAGGCGCTGGCGGCTGATGAGGATGACTATGGAATTGGGGTCCGGTTTCTCGTTTTCGGCAGTACTTTAGTACTTTGCATGCATGGGAAGGGTTTTGCGCTCTATGGTCTACGGACGGAACATTCGAGCTAGCATGTATTTCGTGCTAGGAAATACAACACGCCTTCTGCGATGACACGTATTTTGGCCTACTTTGACCGATTGCATCCTACGCGACTTCACCTGATCTACGGCGTCGGCCCAATCACGGCCTAACATTACTAGGTATTGACAAGGGCTACAAGTCATACCATGACACGTGTAGAGGCTATATCTAGCATCACTGATTCGATGATGAACATCGTATGAATAAGGCAATATCATTTTCATATGTCGTAAGGCAGATCCCCAATTTACATATGTTCACCCATCCAACTCGTGAACATGGTACTTGAATACGCCGATAATTTCTGAAACTCGATACTTTGACAGCATCTACAAAATACAGTAGCGTCACTATTACGAAAGCGGTATGTATTTCATTAGGCTCTTCTCCTGTTTCCTCCACTCCCCTGTTATTCTTAGATTGTAAGCCATCATACGGGGCGGGTTAGGTTGATGGTTGGGCTGGAAGGATCAAATCCCACTGTTCCCCGGACTCCTTGCGCCTCCATTCTAGATATTTAGCTCAGGCGCAGGTACCGCGGTGCCGGAGTGGCCTGAACAAGATTTCTGTAAGGGGCGGTTTCTTAGTACCATTGCTCAGAAGGGAGGTTGCGTTTATATGCGAAGAAAGAAGAAAACAGACAAGCTACACCTACACTACTATTACCCAGACAACCGTTTATCCATTTACTATGACCGGTTAACAACCCACCTAACAGGGACATCTCACCATCGATTGTTTCTTTAATATCACCACTATTTGAATCCTATTTCTACCTCGTAGGATATACGGCACTTAAATACACAAGGGTTTCAGGCATCCATGTAAGACCCCTATTCTTATATCAGTTCCTAAGTTTAGTCAAGCAACAAAGGGCACTTAAAGGGGTTTATACAGCCAGGTAATGCTCAACTACTTTATACAATTTAGTGTCCTAAAACAATATCGGCTGACGGCTTTGTAGAGGCAAATGTTAGTTATTAGGCATAGCTAAATAGTCTTTGCTTGGTGCACAAGCCCCTTTCATCTTCTATACTACTCCTAAGACATCTATAGGTCTTATATTTAATGACCTTTCTCCAGTGTACTATAATAATCACTCACTATGGACACCTTATCTACTGAGCACCATGCGGTTTCTATAATTTTCTTATAGGCCCGAGATTACCCCTTCAACATTCAGACGTCCACACATCAGCTCTATTCCTAACTCACTCACACCTGTCCTACCATCCGGAGTCAATAGTTTCACCAAGCCAAACAGTCCGATGTTAATATTTGCATCGACCTTGTCTTGCCAAGTTCAACCTAATCATAACCTAATCATACTGTCGTACTAATCTCAGAGGCGAAGTTAGCATCCCGAATCACTACATAATCCCCTTTACGTCTTCTCTCATGCCACATCAATTCTCAACTCTCCTAGCTATTGTGACCTAAAGACATAAAGAAGACTCGATTCTCGTAGGCTCTTTTTAGCCTACTATCATCATCCTTACGAGAACACCTTTGCTTACCGACCACATCTTCTGCTTGCAAGTACGACGAGGAAACTTACGTGTATTTTCACTTACCACCTCGTTCATTATGGCTGTTCACCACGGTCGCGTTGCCTGCAAGACAATACCGTCCCGATCTGTTGCTGTTGTAGCAGCCTCCTATGGGAAAGATGGTCAACTACAAACCACCATCGTGTCTGGAATTAGCCAGCAGCGCTGTTTGGATCTTGACGTTCTTGACGTTCCCGACGAAGGAGTCTATATCATCTACCAAGACCGAGCTATACAGATCGCTGCCCCGCCATGCGATAAAAGGAAATGCAATGCATCTCACATCTGCCGTTGTGACACACCTCAGTTCTCTGTTAAGAGACCTCCCTTTAGCCGCCATAGCATCAAACGAAGAGTAGTGTCCTGGCCGGTGTGGAAACCCTGTATGTGCTGCTTGCTGACTTGGCTTCGCCTCTACCAAGCTACCGAAGCAGTAAACCGACTCAACCTACAATTCCTTCGACACCCAAGAACCCTCACGTGGACTAGCCTATATGACCATCAGGCTTTCCACTACGATGCCGAGATAGAGGAGAGATCTGTTCGGTCCAATTATAATGGAACCTCCAACAGACCTATCAACCCAAAGTCATCCTGTTCACCCCGTATTTTTGAATGGATGAAAGATACGTGGAGTGAATTTGTAGACAGTGGATGTTGTAAGCCTCGTTCTATTACAGCTCTACCAGATAACGAAAACAGTACCTACGACGAAAGTTACTTCACCAAAGAACAAGCTGGTTCAGAGATTGACTCGGATTGGGATGACCTCGACATGCCCTGTGTGCCTTATAACACATCCGATAACACGTCCAATGAAGACTACGATCTCATTGATGATCTTATCGAGGAGGAATTTCCAAACTTGCGGAAGAGCGACACAGCTATCCCAACAGAGGACAACGGCCCTGACGAAGAGAGAGATGACCCAGCACCTGTTGTTATTCCACCGAAGAACATGGAAATGGCGCGAGGCTTTGAGACAGTAACAACGTCAGGGAAGTCGAGCCCAGCACAACTAGGTAACAGCAGTTATGTATCCATCATCGACTCTCAGACGATAGAGCCGCAGACTGCTCTGGGTACCAAACGGTCGTATTCAGATCTTTTGGAGTCGGACCAACGCAGTCCAACCCCCGCAGAGGACCTGTCTCGTATAAAGCAGCGAAAACGAGAAATCGCCAAACCGTCTATCAGAAGCCGCCACCGCTACAGCCCTGTCATTCACCAATCCTTCCCACACCTCAAGCGCATTCCACAGAGGATCCTCGTTACTTAATGCTAAAGGGGCTGAAGGTTCTATAGCGACGTGGAAATTGAACTATTTCTATTTGTTGTACTAATATTATGGTTATTGCACCAGATTGCACAAGCATCTTAGCAGGCCAATAACCATCATTTGCTTATTCTTTTATTTATTCGGATTTTTACTACTCCTCCCTGGTTCTTTATGATGCTAACCAGCATGAGGAGATTTTTGGATAATGGGCGCGGCTATCCCCAGCTCCCGTCGGCTCTTCTGAGTTAGTTACAGGTGAACAGAGACATCTGGTCTACATACATCAAGACATCTACTTGTATATCAATAAGAAGAGTTTTGGGGCTTACAGTTACTACTATCGATAATGTAATGTAACCTGACTCTCACTGATTCTCCGTGAACCTGGGATTAAAGCGCTAACCCCCTTGTAGCAGTAACTTCCTACAGGAGATAGCTGAGAATGTTAGGGGGCTTGGATCAGTCAGGACGGAGGATTCTGGAGAAGTTTCATCATTAGGATACCAGCGTAAACATGGGCACGTGGGTTGAGAGCAAATCTCAAGAATATGGGATTTTCATTTGTTGTAGCCCTTTAGTACATGTATTACGTGAGAGGCAGGAACTTTTGTTCCTAGTACAGTATCGAAATCAACGCCTAAACTACCTAACCTAATTCTATTTACCGTATAATATGTAGCTTCCATATGTGCATTTCGCAAGGAAAGTGTGATAATTCTCCAAGTACCTGCTGCTCTTACTTTGCCTTGGAGCCGTAGATGGTGTTAACAGTGAGTCACGACTCACAAGATATGGCGAACATGCCTGAGACAGAAAGCGCCAAGTGCTAAAGGGGCTATTTGGTAACTCGGAGCAAAGCTGTTACAGGCTATCTAGGGCAGTAGAATCATAAACTACAGACTTGTGACCTTCCTTGCCTATTAGTGTAGCTAATAGTCACGGCAAGAGCGAAGTCCTTGTCTTATGCTGTATCTCATACTGTAGTACTTAGGTAGGTACCTACATATTGTTATTGTTGTCTTCCCCTTCCAGTCGTTGTTGCTTCTTGCAAGGTGGTTACTTGGAATGGGACGTGCATATACCCAGGTACACTGGTTCAAGATACTTGCCAGCACCTGCCAGACGCTGATATTGCTGACTGAAGATATGAACTGCCGTTTCCGCCTCAGGTGGAAATCATCTAGTGGCGGTCCGAGCAGATATACATACAGATATACTTGAACTAGCGCCAATGCGTGCCTTCTATTTGTCATAAAATAGCGCGAGATCCGTGCATTTGTACCTACGATAGCCTCAAAAATGAGCAGGAGCGACAAAGTAGACCGTCGAGTCACCCGGTAACCACGCCTAGAATACTGCCGGTCTAGACGAAACACCGCCTTTGGAAACATCTGTTTTTTTCTATAAATGTCCGGGTCCCCTCCCCCAGTTTGTTCTCTTTCTGTTCCATCATTCAAACTTTTCAACATCAACTTCAACATCTTCAACACTCTTACTCTATTAACAACCAATAACCCTAACTAATACCCATACCTACCTAACTTAATATATACTTGGAGGATCGACATACACCTTCGAGGACTTTTCATACGACGTACACTTACAACATGCAGTACAACATACGCTTCATAATACAAACACTAAAGTCATCTAACTACCCCTGAAGTAATGGGTATCAAAGGTATGTTCATGCTTATTGACAACGCAATTTTCCTTTCCATCTATCCTCTTCATCTCACCCTACCAAGATACCACTTGGCCCTTCAGTCCAGTTCTTGTTTCTTAACCAACATGCCCGGTGTGGGATAGCTAAGACTTGTCTAAGATACTAATAGCATATTCGTGAAGGAAAACCATTCAACCTCATCCCGTCATGGCTCCGGCTTTAAACCTTCCCGCATACGGACACAATAAATAGTAGTGGTTACCGCGCCATGAAATTACACTTGGTAACAAGACCAACGCCAATGCCATCGCCGCAAGTTGGCCGGGCTTTAATATTCCGAGCAACTTAGACAACATTTGTCTCCTCCAGAGAGTATATGATCACATAGATGAAGATTTCAAATAACACTATTATAAACGGTATGTATTGTCCTTTAACCATCTTCTAAGTATTTCCTGGAGCTCTTCTGCGACTCATTTATCTTTTGGGATCTTGACCAGAAACTTTCATTCTGCCTTGTTTTCTCCATCTTGTCTTAAACTAAACTTTGTGTTAGGAACTACCTAACTATGATTCTCCTCTACAATTGTGGCCTTATTCCAACAACAAGCACTACTATTATGCTATTGTGCGATCTGCCATAGAAGGCCCTCCGTAGTGATTCTCGACCAGTAACAGCACCCGTCGTTGATGTGGCTCCGCTTGGCACTATGCCCACTGCCCAGGCCCGGTAACCTAGCACAGATGTGGGCCGTTGGTGTCCCGTGAAGGTGAGTAAATTGTAGCCCCGTATCGTACCTATATAAAAAGCGGGAAATTAACTTGGACATGCGTTGTTAGAGGGCCCAATGGAACTGACTTGCCGGAATTCATTCCTGGACACGCCACTTAACTAGGCACGTTGGCGCGTGCGGATGGCCCGGTTATGGGCAAACCGGCTTCCAGAATATGAGGGACGTGGCCCAGCACATTAATACTGTTCATGGTCAAGGAGATAGGATGTGCCCGGTATGTAAAACTTCACTCTCCGTCTTTTCTCTTTTCTCTTGTTTAATCAGAGGTTATACTAATTCTTCTCTATCTCATCTAGTTCACTTCTTCCTAACTCATATTTAAGCCTCTAATAACATTTCTCTTTACCTAGGAGTGGAGGAACTCATATGAGCATTATCGCTACAGGACCTGGAGATCCCCTACACCGGCTACAGTCGAGTACAAATGCACCATGCACACTATGCCACCAGCTCTATACAAAATCCTCTATGATAGACTTGATACGCTGATAATAGTTATTCTAGATACTTTTACTATACCTACTGTTTAGGATATAGGTTTATAGATTTTTATACCATGGTGGAATCTTTGCATTTCATTTGCTTAAATCCGCATAGTTGGAACATATAAGATTTCCCAAGTTGGCCCTTATCCAGGCTCTCCTATATGAGTTTTGCCCTGTATAACCAATGAATGTAATATGATCAAAATTTATCGAAATAAGCTGCAACGTAACCCAGTGACATGGCAACAAAACTAGTGCCTGTCTTCTGTAGTTGTATATCTCTATCCTTTGTTGAATCTATCCATCTCTGAGATTACATCTTCCAGTTATCCTGGTCTCCAGCTTCGAGCACCTTTAATTCATTACATTCTCAACATATATAAGCATCATATACGGGTTCATCAGCTATAGATGGAACTAGAATGTATAACCTGGAACCTCTAGATAGCATAGGACTGAACATCATTATTGAAGAAGAAAAGGAGTATTTAAAGGAGATGGTTGCTAAAGAAGAGGCTTATATAGGTAAATAAAGCATCCTACCCCCTACCATGGAGATGAAACCCTTATCGCCTCGCTTTGTGCCTACTCATGCAACATGACCTCTTTGGCACCTTACAGTAGGGACTTAGGTATTTGCATAGTTCATGGTAGTAAAGATATGTTTTAGGTGGATAATTACAGTTTTTAGCCCTTGGTAATCACAAGGCGGCACAATCACACCCAGTATGGTCGAGCATAGACAAACAATCCCGAGCACGGATAACAAATAACAAGAAATAGCAGAGAGGGGAGGAATATAAAAATGGCGACTTGTGGTTATTAGTCTAAAGATGGGGTTTCGTTACGTTAGATATAAACTTCCCTTACACAGATACAATATACTACCCTCTTATATATTCCTACAGGGTGCTCTAGTCTATTCAAAGGGGTACTGATATGTGATAGACTCCCCAAGATCTAACTTAGCCTCTTTACAATTGTTGTAAGGATAATTTATTGGGAATGTACCTTTATTAAACCACCTGCTTTGGCTTCGACACCTGCTGGCGACGCGGTCAATCCGCCTTGGTTGTTATCAAGTTGCATGTTCGGAGGCGACCATTTATGGTGGCACATTAGTGCACAACCGACAAAACAAAAAAACGGATGAAAATTCATCCGATTGGCTGGCGTAAGCGCTATAATTATAGCGCACGTACCCACTAGAGGCCCTACAACTATAGGGGATTACAGTGAACAATCCGCTACAATTATAAGGCTTGTAAATATAAGGTTTTAATTGGCTGACACCTTGCCAGCTGTAGACAGCTGCTATGAGAACCTTAATTTAACTTCTGAAAATATCACTAAGTCCACTGTAATTATAGTGGACTTAGCGCATACAGCCACTATAATTACAATGGACTTAATGGATTTAATAAATTTCATTTTAGCTTCGGAGACTTTTTTTTAAAGCGCTATAACTTTAGCGCATATATCACTGTAATGCCCTGTATTTATAGTGGGATTTAGCGCATATAAGCGCTGTAAATATAGCACATATGCCAAGTCGGACGAATTTTCATCCGCTTTTTTTTGTTTTGTCGGTTATGTACTAATGGTGCACCGTAGACCATTTCAACCCTCCCTCCTCAAAAATATTACTCAGCCACTCTCGTCACTAACGCTGCCAACCCTCCTTGACCTTGCAACCTTTACCACGTATTGACATTATTGATCCACATTACTTTCATTGCCGGCCATCAACGTGATTGTCCCTAGTTCTTAGTCCATAGCCTACGGCTGATGTAACTGCTGCCAGGTGTAGACTTGTTATCATCGCCTCCTTTCACCACGCACATTTCTTTCGAACTTAAACAAGGCAAAATGGCATCGCCTCTTCACCGCCACCAATCATCACTTAAAAGCATCATCAACTTTTCTCCGGAACCACCCTTGGAGACAGAGCTGCGCGACCATGCCAGCCGGAGACTCCAGAGCATTTGTGAGCACTTCGACACTGGGATACCTCCTAGTGAAAGCTTCTACCAAGAAAACCCCACAGCCTTCCCCAGCCTTGCATTCTGCAGTCCAAGAAGCACAAGGGCAGGGAGGGCAACAGTATGTTGGAACCGGTCCCCGATTGTCAGCTCTTCGGAGGGACTGTCTTATCCGTGACCGTAATCGTTGTGTAATATCGCGAAAATTCGACCATGCCGAAGCGTGGGAACGCCGTAATACTCCTGGCGGCGCTCGAGACGATGAAGGGAACTTGCTAGAAAATGATCCAGATGACCCGGAATTTCTGGAAGTGGCCCACATCCTGCCACACTCCCTCACGAAAGTCAATCAGGGAGGTGAACTAGTATGTATCTTCTTCTCGAACGGTATTCTTAACTTAACTTTTCCATTAGGATCATTCTAAACAATCTGCACTTGCGATCCTTAACATGTTTGATGTGGGTGTTGCGGAACTAATTCAAGGTCCTGAAATTGACCGGCCACGTAACGCTATTACGCTCACTGCTCATCACCATCGGTCATTTGGTGATTTCCAGGTTTACTTTGAGCACGTTGCCAACAGAGATCATACTTACACGATCAAAACATTCTATCCCGGATACTTGGTCCGGCGAGCAGCATTTCCTATTACCCGTGAGTTTTATCTCACTTCCGAACGAACAATCGAACCTCCGTCACCTCGACTGCTAGCTCTCCACAGTGATATTGCCAATGTCCTCCATTTATCAGCAGCCGGTGATTATATCGATAAAATATACCGTGATATGGAAGAAAAAGGAGTGCAGGCGGATGGATCTACTCCGCTAGATCGGTTCATATCTCTTACCATCAACGAGAAACCCTCTTCTATCTGTACTTAAATAGTTAAGCAATAAGTAACAACTGATGACAATGAAATTCTAGCAGTGTGTCACAACAGTAGTTTGACATGGTGTGGCTAGGAGGCTGTAGCTTAGGATGAGTTGCTAGCTACGTATATGTGTAAAAGAGAAGTTCGTAGGGTTCTCTCCAGAGGAACTGCAATGGAGGCACGAGCTTTGAGAAAGAAGCTGCCTCAAGTGAATTTCGAGCTTGCGGTCTTCAGTACATATACACCATAGCATAGCTAATTACCTACCACTTGTCCCTCAGCTGAATTCATCTCCTGTTGTAATTCTTGTCAGACTCTTGTGCCCTTACAGATAATCTAAACATACCTAGGCTTCAAAGCATTAATGCTATGGAAAGGGGAGGCCATTATTCATTGGAGAGTTAGCACGATCTGCCTGCTATTTCTACTTTTGTTGTTATTCCTAGCTCTGCATCCTATGAAGTTTCCTTTTCCTGAGGTTAATTGTGGATGAGAGGCCATCCTCTTGCAGTTAGCAATTAATAATAGTTGAATCTTCTCATCTTTATGTGGCTATTTGGCCGACAATGGATACTTGCTAGGTGCCACCATTACTCCATACGGAAAATAAGACAATCTTCTCTCTTCACATAATAACTAACTAAAAAGGTGTCTTTAAAGTGAAAGTCATAGGGTCACATTCCAAGCCAATACAGTAGAGACTGTGCTAAGGGTATCATCTCCCAGAGACTTTGTAATGTAGGCGGGATTTGGCCCGTCTCGGCTGTCTCTAGTCAGTAAGACTTGATATTAGTACCTACCTAAGGTATCTCACTCAAGATACATAATGATAAGTCCGTGCATCAACACACCTTCCTGAGCATCGTACTTGCTAGGTTTGACTTTTCATGGCGATGAGGTGTCCTAAGGAAACCGCGATTTGTATGTGACTCAGTACCTACCCTTCATTTTACCCAGCAACGCCTACCGAAACAGCAGAAGATGTAGGATAGCTGTATTTCCCGCTAGTTGACCAGCTGGCAAGCCGACCGACAAGTTTCTCAACAGAAATCCTTCCGAGTGTATAAAAGAACGTGCCCATCTCCCACTCTTCGCCATTTTCTTCCAACTTCTTTCTAACTCATAAACTCATAACCAATCCTAACTTCTTCTAACAACACAATACCTATTCTATTACTCTACTCTAACCTATCCCAACATTTATTATCCTCCTTTAAATTCTCACATATATTTTCCGAAGTAATCGTTTAGGGAAAAGAGACGAGGACCTAAGGTCACCAAGTCAATGACAATTCATCACGCCAGCGGTATATTCAAACTCTCCTACCATTCCCCTTTGCTCTCTGAACTACATCTTCGTGCAGTACACGAGGCTGGAGATGATGGAGATCCTTATTGTTTTGTTGTGCTTCTTTAGCAAGCTTTGGTGAAATTCTCCTTTACATATGCAACCTTCCTCCCCTTCACATTAGCACTTATATCTACACTTTTCGCACTGCACCTACCTCTCCTTGAACATTATCACCTCTTTCTATTCTTTCAAAACTTCCTTTTCATACCATCCACATCCCATTTCTGTTGCTCTGCTACCACTACCCCGCAATGCGATATACACCGCCTTAGGTGGGCAAGACAACCTCAGGACTTTAGTCTATTTCAAAGCGCATGTTCCTTTGTTCTTTCCTATCCTTCAAACTTACATCATGTGCCCAAACATGTCTTGAACTGCAAGATGGCTAATTAAAGAATTCATAGAGCCTATCCCTACCCCACGACTTAATACATACTCCTAACCCACACACCCACTCACACACCAACTCCAACCTACCCATCTACCTAACCTCCCTAGGTATTCTACCTAATCTATCTAATCTACCAAACCCATCTCATGTATCATTCCCTAAGGTATGTCATTATCCTCTCTTTGGACTCTTGTATACTTGGCGCATATTGCCTTCTTCACTTTGCTGTCTCTCTTCACAAGCAACTCAACTTCCTACCCCTTGCAAACACTCTTCATTATTACATCTTCACATCACTTCCATCTTGTATATATCCTAGGTTACTAATTTTATATTTTTAGATGGCAATATCCGACTACAACCTTTCAACATCCGTCAACTTAATATCCTTTACCCTACCACAAATGTGGATTTTGGTATTAATCCACAAAAGTTCACGCAGCTAGTGATAAGTGCTAACACTTTTCCTTAACAGCACAACATCCTTTTCGTCGGTGTCTTGGCGTCTCTCATAAGACTGGACAATCAACATGCTCCCGGTCTCTATTTAATCTTCAACTCATAACTAAAACCCTTCAGGCCATCATCAAGCAGCCGCATAACTAATAAATATTAAGAAATATTTACTTGGTTGGAAAAAGCCATATGGTAGACTACATCGGTGTAAGAACGGACAGGATTCAGATCATGAATCAAAGAAATGTGTCTGGTGACAGAATGAGAGAATGGGCACTATCAACAGTCCAGGAATACTATCATGTAAGTCTTCGCTCCCTTTACCTACCTATTAAAAGAAGTCCAATTATTAACAATTTTATCTTAATAGCCGGATTCTCCAGTGTATCAACATCATCTCTATGAGATTCTCCCGATATTGCCTGGATGTTGGAGTGATAGTATGTTACGTAACAAACTGTCACTCCAACACTGATCAGTGATTGGCCGACAGGTCGATCACAGAACAGCAAGGAAAAACTCGCTACAACCTCACCGCAGCCCATGATGGCGGCGGCAATGGGAGGGAGACGTTATAACTGGGAAAAGCACATGCACGATAACTTTAGAAACATTAACATCGATACGAACCAAGCCAAAACAGCAACCCGAAAAGCTATAGACACGTATTGAGTAGAGAGATTTGCCGCATACGACGATAACCAATGCGACGGAGATCTCTAAGATATGTTTCAGACAAACTTCTACGGCTAGAGCGTGGGAGCATTTCACAAGATTAGCCCAACATTACGGAAAGAAATGAAGAAACACCTTATAAACCATGGGTTCTACATGCACCACCTGTCTCACTAGTCTCACCATAATCCCATTAGAGGGCTATTATTCTACTTACTTTAATGCCAGTCAATAATCGACAGCACCAAGTGAAGAGAGACAGAGGGCCCGATTCATGGTGGGATGCTAAACAAGGCCAAAGGCTATGGTGCCGCTATGAAGAACGGGAAACAAAATGTTCGTTCTTGTCTCTGAATGACCGCTCAAGGCAATCAACAATTCCCATATTTATACTCTTTAATCAACTCTATCACTGCCCATACAACGCGGGGCTAGTCTTTCATCGCAGCCTAGTCATGGCCTCAAATAGGATAACATGACTTCATAAATTATACATAAATTTTGAGATAATTACTTTTGTTTAAATTAATGAAGAATTTTATATGCTTCATGGAAATGCGGCGTTGTAGTCTCGAGTATTGCATATATGCATACCAAGGCCTAGATTTACATGTATATAGCATGAATTGGGTACGTAATGATATATGCATTACTCGAAGTAAAACTTTTTGCATCTAATTCAAAGCACATCATTGGCGTGTAAGTCAAATCATACATTATTCTCACAATCACAGAAAATAAGGGAACTTATTCATGACGGGTCATGAGAGGTCTCTATATCGTTCGTGGTCCTCTACGTCGGCCCTTGTTGGCGCGCCCGCCGCAGGTTCTAAAGCGATACAAATTCTCAGGCCGGACCAAACCAGCTGAAAAATCCAAGACTTCTCTCCCCAATTCCCCGGCAAGGACGCGATTTGCGCCATCTCCAACTGGATATGTGCATATAGGCTCGTTGAGGACAGCACTGTATAATTACTTGCTTGCGAAGGCCACCGGCGGCCAGTTCATACTTAGGGTTGAAGACACGGACCAGGTGAGTTCGAGTTGCTCCTAGAATTGAATGGTGGGTCGGTATTCTAACGTATCCTAGTCTCGAATCGTAGAAGATGCCGAGACGAGGCTATTCGAGGATCTAAAATGGGCCGGGTTGAGCTGGGATGAAGGTGCGAGATTTGCACTTGCATAGTAAACAACTCTTAATTCTCATTCGTGATTTCTTATAGGTCCCGATGTTGGCGGAGACTACGGCTCATATAAGCAGGTATTCCTATCATAGCTCACCACTCTATCATCTATCATCGCGATACTAACCCTGTTCAAAGTCAGAGAGGCTAGAGCTATATAACGAGCATGCGGAACAGCTGATAAACAAAGGCCTCGCTTATCGATGCTTCTGCACGCCCGAGGACTTGGATCAGATGAGATCCATAAACATCCAGGAGGGCAAGCAGCCTATCTACAACGGGATCTGCTCGCACATATCTCCAGATGCATCCGCGCGTCGGGCAAAAAACGGCGAGCCGCATTGCGTACGATTCAAATGCGGCCAGCAGCCTGTCGTCAACGACCTCGTCTATGGATACTACAAGAAGCCTACCGTAGAAGATGACTTCATCATTATTAAGCAGGACGGGTATCCAACCTACCACTTCGCCAACGTCGTCGACGACCATTCAATGGAGATCACGCACGTTATCAGAGGAGCTGTGAGTGGCATGCCAGCGCCATCCGTTGATATTCATACAGAATCATGGCTAACGAAGAGAAATCTAGGAATGGCTAGTATCTACACCCAGGCACGTAGCGCTGTACGAGGCCTTCGGATGGGAGATGCCCCTGTTCGCGCACGTCGGACTCCTGGTCAACGAGGAGAGGCAGAAGCTGAGCAAGCGCCACGGCGACGTCGACATCGCATCCTGGCGAGACCGCGGTATATTACCCAGCACGCTGCTCAACTACGTCATGCTGCTGGGCTGGAGCATGGGGAGGGGCGTCAAGGGGCAGCAGGAAGTCATGGATCTGAAAGACATGGTCAAAAGGGTAAGTGGCATAAAATCATATAAACAAGACAAAATGATATTAACTCGGAAATATAGTTCCATCTCGGCTTCACCAAGGGCGACATCACAGTCAACAACAAGCACGAGTACCTCCAAAAGGCGCACGTAAAGCGTCTCGCCCAAGCACACGGCCCATCACACGTCTCCCACATCCTCCTCCCGGTTCTCACATCCCGCGTGCAGAAATACGAAGACGCACGCAACGCAGACCCCGAAGACCCAATCCTAGACCCAGACCCAGACCCAACCCCAGGCGTCAACAGCAAAATCGTATCCGAGCTAGGCCCCATGGTCCCTCTCGCCAGCGACACCACCGCCACCGCAACCGCAACCGCAACCGCAACCGCAACCGTGTCCCAATCATACCTAGACCAAGTCCTCCAGGTCGACCTGCAAAACTACAAAGACGCCGAGACCTACGTATCGCGCAACCGGTTCCTGATCTGGCAAGTCCCCGAGTCGCTGTACCGCTCCAGTCTGCGGGAGGAGACGGCGAGCGTAGACCAGATCTACACGGACCGGGAGATAGGGACGCCTGTCGAGGAGGACTTGCAGGAAGATGAAGATGACGAGGACGAGGACGAGGAAGGCCGCTATCCGCAGACCGTCTCGGAGCTTACGGCCGCACTGCGCGATATCCTAGAGGCCTTGGAGGAGGAGGAGGAGTGGACCAAGACGGGAATCGAGGGTGCTATCTTGCCGTTCCTCAGATCTATATACGCCACGCCGAAGACTTCCGAGCCTGGCTCCAGTCACCAAGAGCCGCAGCTCTGGGGGTACCATCTCCTGCGCTGGGTCGTCGCCGGGTCGCGGCCCGGACCGTCGTTGATACCGAGTTTAGTTGTACTGGGCAAGGAGGAGACTATGAGGAGGGTAGACGAGGCGTATGAAGTAGCTAAAAGCGAAGAGGGCGAAGAGGGCGAAGAGGCCGAGTTGGAAGATTAGGTCAAGTCAAGTCAAGCTAAGTTAAGCCAAGTCTACGTTACATGTCTTGCTTCCATATCGACCACAAATCTAGACTAGGCAAAAAGGACGGTAGTTGGTCAAGTCGTGGAACGAAAAGGAGACTCGTGTATACCAGGTACAAAGCATCCTGTACTCTGTATTACTATTCTTACGTTTTTATAATCAGCCCCCCTTTTCCATCCGATGCCGAAAAACGCCGTCCAATGCTTCGTGTCTCGTAATAGCGGCCATACGACGCGTGCCATATCATATCATAACACTACAGAATTCGCATTTATTCCTGCGCGGTAGTAATTGTAGTATCCGGAGCTGGATCTGTAGCGGTGCTAGCAGTAGTAGTACCCCCCAGCCCGTTGAAAATCTTAGCCTTGACTTCGATAGCCATAAGCCCTTGCTTCTCGTTCATGGCGACGGAGTGGCTTGTGCGGGCAAGCTTCTCCATCTCCGCGTCGAGAGCCTTGCCTCCTGCACCGAGACCCCCCCTCGAGTTGCGCTGGCAAGACAGGGTGGCCTCCCGGATTTTGGAGCCTAGGTCTAGCATTTGCTTGTCGCCGTAGTCGCGGTTTGTCAGCAGCGGGTTCTGCGAAAGCGTCTGCACCCAGTATTTGCTCCACAGCAGCTCTAATAGGCTCGAGTCTAGCGTTGACTTGAAATGCGAGACTCCTAGGCTGTAGTACTTGCTCGCGTGGGCGCCGAAGTCTTTAGCTTTGGATAGCGGTACGGCTTGGCCGGAGGATGAGGAAGCGGATGGTTCGGTGGGCTGGTAGTTATCGGGATATGTGCGGAAGGCGCCGATCTCGACGCGGCCTGCGCTGATGGTACGATCGGGGTCGATGACCACTGCGACGAAAGGATCGTTGAATTTCTGCTGCATGCTCTGTGTGCCGACGTCCATGCCGCTGAGCCAGCAGCCGTAGCCGGGGTGGCTATGGTACCAACCCACAACATTCTCTTGACGACTGCCTTGGTCTCGAGAGAGCTGCAGGTATTGGATCATGTACTCGTTGGCGTCGTCCTGAGCATTAACACGCGTCTCCGTGCCCTCTACAGGAAGGCCAAAAGCATCTGTGATGACAATAGTATCGCCGTCCGTGTAGCCTTGCATCAAACCCATGACTTCGATAGAGCCTCCTGTTCTGGCGTGCATGACCATCTTGATGAGGGCGACGGCGCTGATGCGTACATGTTGGAAGTGGTTCGGGTTATCTTTCCAGGGCTTTGCGGAGTTTACTTCGGTTTGGCGGTCGTCCGAGTAGTTGTAAAGCGCGTCTCGTACGGGATCGACGAGCTTGATGTCGTTATCGAGCTCTACGCGGGGCTGTTCGTTAGTATAGCATTCCGTATAGGAAGAGGAGAAGAGAAACAGGGGAAATGCTTACCCCACGATCTCATTGCCACCTCCATCTTGGCTGGCTGGTTTATCGTGATCGCTAACAGTCAAAATTGGCTGATCGATGTAAGTTGTTGAAATGGGAAGTGCTGAAGATGAAGGATGATGTAGGATTGGGATGGATGTAGGCAGTAACGTGGGGTTGAAGATAAGGGATAAGAGATAATAAATAATAGATAAGAGAAGCTTTGGTAAAGACTGAGCTATTTGTTGCATATATTCGTCTAATCCCTGTCTAATGCATCTATCAGGTATCTTTATGCCTGATTTGGAATCTTTCAAGTTGTAAAAAAAGTCTTTATCGATAACACCTCAAATTTCGAGCCTCATCAAGGATCCACTTCTTTCTTGTTCATCTTCAAGATCGCGCAGTTGAACTCCGGGGAGAGACAGGGCAATTGTCACATCATGACCAGATCTTCCATAGCAAGGCCGCTACGGCAGGCCTTATCCAGACCACTAGTAAGTTCCCCAGGCGATGAAGTTCCAAAAACAACTTAATTGATTGACATCCCAAAGGTCCAACCACCGCGAAATACCCTGGCAGGTATCGTGAGCGCCCGCACGCAAGCCTCGGCGTAAGGCTCGACTTATAGTCCGAATGGGCCAATGCTTTCTAGTATACTAAATCAGATTTCAGAGCCGATCCTACTGCTGATTCGCAGTCCAGGCCTCCCCAGCTCGTGTATGTATACGGATTGGACCCCTCAGGCAATGCGCAATGACTTATGCAATTTCCAGAAACGAATTACCAGATCCCCGCGAAGAGAACGAGGTTCGACTTCCCAGAGCGGTCCAAGCTCTCTACCTCCAGCCCCTGCGACGAGAAGCCCAATACGGAGTCCCCTCGTGCGATTTGCAGCTGCGGTCTTTCAGCATACCCAACCTCGAGTTCTTCTGCGACTTTGCGCTCCGAGCCGCATACTACCTGAACCTCCCGGCATTCGGCCCGGTGCCTCTTCCTAAGATCATAGAGCGATGGACGGTGCCGAGGAGTCATTTCATCTTCAAGAAGTCGCAGGAGAACTTTGAAAGAATCACGAGGAGGAGATTGATCCAGATTAGAGACGGACATCCCGAGACGGTACAGATCTGGCTGGCCTACCTGCAGAAGCACGCATACTACGGTATCGGTATGAAGGCAAACGTGTGGGAGTTTGATAGTATTGGTGAGTTTGGCATTGTTCAAGTCGTTATGGTGCTATGGTTAGGTACGGTTGGCTAATTTGGACATACAGGCACTGGTAAGAAGGCGGATGAACAAGAGAAGTCTCTACAGGAGATAGTAGAAAAGAAGATGGAGAGCTTTGGCAGAGACAAGACACTGGGCACGGTAGAGAAGGTGAAGGAGTTGCTGGCTAGCGAGAGGTTTAAGCATACGAGATAGACGGTATAGTGTATGCTGTCTCATCTGTACAATGAAGTTAATATACTTATTGCAACACACAATTGAATACGTGTAGCTACCAATGAATTGCATGTTACTCTTGAAGCTATTCACAGCTTGACGTATTTGTTTTTCTTTTTCTTATAGTTGAATGATATCGAGAACTAAGAACTGAGAACAATGTAGTTACAGTGTATACACAGTATGCATCTACTGTGATTAGTCTAAAATTCGTCTCATTCCAGAATCTTTTCAATTATCCGACTTACACACAATAATACGAACGATACGAACGCTTCAAGGTCTTGCTCTCATAATTGAGCTTGGACTATTGGTATAAACAATCACAGTGGTAAGATGTCTATATTTAATATTTCATAGAATTCATTACTGATCAATTGCACAGGTCTTTTCTTTTAAGCCAGCAAGCAAATAGCCTCGAAACTCATCTCAGACTTCAGTGCAAAGTATTGAGATATCGTAGGCTTTTAAGGGCTTAGGCGTCGGAGTAGATGCGCCGAACACTCGGTGCCCGCTGCAGGCCCCTGGCTGGCCTAACGCGAAGACAGGTCATATACTCAGCAGCACGGCAGCAAAGACGTAACGAGTCTACTATTATTGGCAGCGATGCCAGTGCCGATGAGCAGAGTAAAGTGGCGACGGAACAGAAACCGAACGTTATCTTCTCCGGCATCCAGCCCACTGGTGTTCCTCATTTAGGAAACTACCTAGGGGCATTGCGGCAATGGAGGAAGCTTCAGGACGATGCGAAGCCCGAGGATATACTGCTCTTCTCCGTCGTAGACCTGCACGCCATCACCATGCCCCAAGACGCCAATGCCCTACGTCTGCGGCGCCGCGAGATGCTAGCCGCGCTACTAGCCATCGGCCTCGATCCCGATAAAGGGTCTACGATATTCTTCCAGAGCTCCGTGCCTCAGCATACCGAGCTCATGTGGATTCTCAGCTGTACGGCGTCGATGGGGTATCTGGGGAGGATGACGCAGTGGAAGGTTGGTCTTCTGTTACCCCTTTACTCTTTTATAATCCGTGATTACTTGCCACGTCTAGGTACCTAGATATGAGTTGTCTAACGTGAAGTGAATGTCCAGAGCAAACTCCAGATAAACAACAAAGCAGGCGATCTCGAAGAAGCCGCCCTAACCAAGTTAAAGCTGGGCTTATTCTCATACCCCGTGCTCCAAGCAGCCGATATCCTAGTACACCGTGCAACACACGTCCCCGTCGGCGACGACCAGCGGCAGCACCTAGAATTCGCGCGCGAGTGCGCGACTAATTTCAACCACACGTTCAAGAACATCCTCGTTCCGCCCGAGACCATGACCAGTACGTTCCCCTTCTTCTTCCTCCTCTTCTTCTTCTTCTTCTACTACTACCACTACCATCCCCATCCCCTCCCCTTCCCTTTCCCATATATATAGGTATATATATATATATTCTCTCTCTCTCTCTCTCTCTCTCTATCTCTCAAAAAGACACATTAACCAACCAAACCACCCCCGCAGCCCCCTCCCCCCGCATAATGTCCCTAACCAACCCCGAATCCAAAATGTCCAAATCAGCACCCAACCACCGCTCCCGCATAGTCATCACCGCCCCCCCCAACGAGATCCGCACCCGCATCATGAGCGCCGTAACCGACATCCACAACGCCGTGACCTACGACCCCGAAACCCGCCCCGGCGTCGCCAACCTGCTCGAGCTGCTCTCGCAGTGCGGCTCCGCCCAGGGAACCCCGCCTCGTCGCCTGTCCCCCAACGAGCTGGCCGTCCAGCTTTCCGGCGCCAAGCTCAAGGATTTGAAGGAGCTGGTCGCCGAGGCCGTGTGCGTGGAGCTGCACGGCGTGAGGGACCGCCATGACGAGCTGTTGGATCGGAAGGGCGGCAAGTGGCTTGATGAGATCGAGGCCGAGTGCGCCGAGGTGGCGAGGCGGAATGCGGAGGAGACGATGAGGATGGTAAGGGATGCGGTTGGGTTGGGGCCGGCGGCGCGGCTTACCTAGGCTGTTGGTGTATGAGAATAGAAAAGCACGTTAGAGAAGCTAAAGACGTGTGACGTGTATTATACACGTTAGCTACTACGATAGATGCGACATCGTCATAGTAAACATCTGTGGTATTATTCACAACTTCACTACGAACTACTGCGGCGAAATTACGCAATTGACAAAATTACCGCGTGATGAATTCAGCATTTTATTTTAGACGTAACCTAATCTAGAATTGCACACTGGATCTTGTCCAATCTGTAATAACCTTCACGCCGGCTAGCCTGAACAATGCTGACAGTGATATTCCGAGTGAGGTCATCACGATGTATACGCAAAGTTGGACCCTCTACAAGCTAGCCAAAAGGTGCGAACGAGAGCATTAGTTGCTCGCTGACCACGTAGCCTGTGCCGAAATGTCAGTCCTCATACGACGTGTCGGTAAACAATTATGTTAAACTTACATAATTACTTTCTTGAGGAATAATTCCTTGTCCTCTGGTGACACCTTATCGCTGGGGAAGGCCGGATCTTGTAAGGCTGCTCCCAACCACTGGCGGGCATTGACCTGCTGTGCTACTAACTTCTTGAGCGGCTCGCTAAGCTTGTCGAGCTCGCTTCTCGCCGCCTTTCCCCCGATATTCTGTATGAGTGACTCAGATAACTTAGGGCCTAGATATGTTATCGCGTTTTCCACAATAGCTCTAGTATTCTCATCGGTTACCTGGAGTGAAATAAATGTAGACTGATAATATCCACATAGTTAGTTTCACAACTATTTCTTATACTTTTAATGGGGACTAACCCAGAAATCTGCCGCTGCTGCTTTGGGTAATGGCTCGTTTCCATTTAGCAGCTTGATAGCGAACATGAAGAGAAACTCAAGCATGTTTGCTGGTTGGGACATGAGTATCTCTGGGCGCTTCGACATAACCCTCTGGGCAAATTCAATGCCATACTGTGCCAGTTCGGGGTCTTGCTCAGGTTCTACAATAACGTTAATGATATATCATGAGTGAGGAATCGATCGACAACTGAACAAAGACCCGTAAAGGAGCTATCAGCACCTTAAATACTAGAATGGCGACTCACCCGAAAGTTGATTCAGTAAGCTAAAAACCCATGGTAAGAGTTGACTGAGGACCTCTGATATGTGGTTCTTTTGGTTTCCGCTGTTAAGAGACGTGATAAATACACTTGCTGTATTAACCACTGTAGCAACACGATTATTCCATCTGCTCGTGATGAACTCGGTGACCATCTGTGGAGGAAATACGAACGGCCCAGGCTCGGTTTCTGAGAAGCCAGCACGAAGAATGCTACAGATAACGTCGATAACTTCGCTATTACTCGAAAATATCTCCTTAAGCCTAACGAGAATGTTCTGAAACCACTATCAGCCACCTCGTTCAAAACAACGTAGAAAATACTTACCATGATATCAACTTGTATCTGTTGCAAGTCAGAATTGGATGACACTTGAGTGCTTTCGTCGCCAGCTTCCAGATCTACAAGGGATTCAGACGGTGCTTGAATTCCTTTGGCGATGCTACAAAGGCAGCGAAGAGCTCGAGTGGCTAGATTCAATGATATCTCAGACGCCGGAACGGGTGCGTCCGGGCGCTGTGCAAAGTCATAGGCTCGTATTATCACCTATGCTACATTAGAAACCAGCTATCACCGGCTAAATCACACTACTATCGTTTTAAACATAGAAAAACTTACTGGGTTGTCAGGAGGCAAGAGAGATCCTTCGCCATAAGACGAGAGTTGCAAACTAGTCTCGACATCTACCCCGACCATGGTGAGCAACCTCTTAAAGGCGTTCGCCTTCTGCGTATCCTCGGGGACTGCCTGTATGATCGATGCAATAGCACCAACAACCCTCTCTTCGGCTAGCGAGTCAAGTTCACTGCCGCGTAGCGTTCCGTATTGTTCGAGGAATGTATTAACTTCAGGGGTTAAAATTGATCGACAGGACGAGCAGAGTGTGTAGATCGATTTCGACGAAGGCAGTGCGAGATGCCTATCACCTACCGCGCTAAAGAGTAAATTTAAAGCAGCCGGTAAGAATTCTGCGTGATGGCCAAAGTATTCTGAGTAACGTTCTATGAGGGCAAGACACGTCTGTCTCGCCCGTACGGGTACTACGCTCTGCCCTTGACATAACAAATCAAATAGCGATGAGCCGAATATTTGAGTTAATATGTCGTCGAATGAACTTTCATCCGGCAGGCAATCAGAGAGGGAGCCTAAGCAAAAGGCTGCAGCTTCAAGCTCTGCCCAGGCCGATCTTGGCAAGGCTTCCAGCATGTTTTTCGCAAAGATGGAGACTAACTCTTTGCCAATTATCGTATATACGGACTGCAGAAAATCGGCAACGTCCTTTCGTGCATCTCCAAAGGCGACTCTTTCCGTGGAGTCCCAAGAATTATAAACAGTGATGTGAGGGTACTGTATCTTGCGCGAGCTCTCCGAGACGGCCTGCATTATTTGCAATACCGGTGGTTTATCCCATTGCCTCTCTCTGGTTGAGTCTTCGTATAAAGTCCCCACTAGGATTTCAACGAAGGTTCCCCAGAATTCGAGAGCTGGAACGAATATCCTATCATCCACCCCTGGGTACCCCTTTGCGCTCAACAAGCCGGCTAGCATTGCAAGGAAACGTTGGGCTCTTTCGTTGTTCCCATCTTCCAAATCTTTTGCCTGGGCATTGCCGAAGGACAGCATAAAAAGCCCAAAATGGACGTCGTCGTCATCCATCTCCTCACTTTCGATCAGGCTACGATATCTGTCCCGGGCCCAGTCACTTTCAAATACTGAGTATAGGGATTCGATGTGATCTCTAACGAAGAATGATGGCCAATCTTCTAAAGCATCAGTAAGGAGCCCAACGGCAACGTCATAGAGCTCGGCGTGTGGGAGACAGTTAATAACAGGGCCAACTAGTTTCCGAAACTGCTGGATTAATGGCTGTTTGGAACTTCGTTGGACATATTGAAGCCATGCTTGCAGGCAACTTATAGAATCCGCCGGACGGGTATTGCAGTCGTTGGCAGGTTTAATACCATGAACCAGGAGTACCACAACGTCAGCGGCATTGTTCGCCAGCCGCTCGTGAAGGGGGATATACTTGACAGGCTTAGTGTCAATCTTCTCTGCCTCGCTAGGCAAGATTTGTGCAAACCATGACACCGCGTATAAGTTTTCAACGTCCAACAACTGGACTATATCCTCGTAGGGAGAGGCATTATCAGCATCTTCGATAGGTACATAGATGCGGCTATCTAAGCAATATGAAAGATGGCGTATGCATCTGGGCCAGGTATGCGAGTAGTGGATAAAGTAGGTGACTAAAGTACTGCAAAGTTTCTTAACGACGAAACCCGCCGTTCCATCTCTTAGGGAAGTGATAAGGAAGCCGATGAGCTTCTGAAGAACGGATACTGAGTCCTCATCCGATAAACTATCTGCGAGTGAGCAACAGGAGTTTCAGACAACCTATCAGAGAATTACCTTTCGGTGTTTAATTTCACGGTGAATGTTAATGCACCGAAAAACTTGACATTCTGATCTGGTCGGCTTAGTAGGCCATCTGCAAGTTGCCACCCACCAGGAGATTTTTGGAGGGTCTGAAGGATTTCTTGGATGCGGGAGATAGTGTGAGGGGGGTTTGGCTTATACAGCTCATGAACCAACTATAAAGAGTGTTAATATAACAGCCCAGGAAATCCAAATAGTCTCCCTATAATAATTCTCTGAATTCTATTGCCTAGGTCTATCATCTAGGTAGTGAAAAGATTAAGATTATGATAATATGTCAACTTACATGCTCGACTTCAGGTAGAGTAATAGTTTCAATCGATATGTTTTCCATGGTCGTTTTGGTTTTCGTGAGCTGCCTCATCCATATCGAGAAACTGACGGGTTGCGAGTTTTGAGTATGGAATCTGAAGGTAGGTAGTTCATCCGTGCGCAGAAGCAAAGATGCTTGTAGAGTTAAACAGACGAGGCTGAAATAGGCGTTAATCAAGAGTCCCCTGTAAAAATTTAGATGTATGTACAATACGGAATAAGTAACTAACAATTTGACAGATTAACGACGTGTCTATTCTCTACCTTAGATACTCATAACATAAAGTAAGAAGGCTATCGACCAATTCCAGTTCATTAGCTTTCTCTAAGTGTAACGGGAGCCAAGAATTGAGACGGGCGGATGAGTGATTGGAATTCGCTATGCGCTTTGCTTTAAACGTCATCCCGCAAACCTGGAAGGTACCGACAAACTTATACCTACATAAGGTACAAGGGTTTAGTGCCCAATTTTGATAGTGGGGTTCCATTCCCGTCTACCTATGTATGTAGGTACCTAACCTAGGTATCTATATAATATGGAGGTACATATATACTTCGCACATGCCGGTACAAACCCTAAATTGTGAAGGGATAGGAGGTACTCCTAGGATATCATATTATTCTCCGAAGTCCATCCATATTCTGTGTATCCAGCAGAATTAATTGTTCAATTCCGAAGTACCGATGAGGAATATCCACTTACCTACATACCTAATGTTAGGAGTACCTACCTACCGTTACATATGTACCTAGGTACTTCCAGCCCACCAAAGTTCCAAGGTTCTCCATTCCACCTTTTCTCAAGTCACCTCAAGATCTAACTTCTCTAACCTTAGCAACTTCAACCCCCGAGATCTACTGTTTATAAAAGACACCGGCTGGGAGTATTGACTAGGTACTGGATTCTAATGGATTCGACCTCTCAATAATACAACTAGATTTATTAGGGCCATTTACGCCCTGGTTTGCCGTATCTTATAGTTGGTTTCCTAAGCTAGACTCTGCTGGGTTGCGGCAGTTGGTGTTCGGCAATATCGTTGCAGTTGATGCCGATAAGAATTTTTTTGTCTTCTTGCGCATTGTATATGCCTCTGAGGACTACGCTTTCGTCTATCGTTAAGACACCTAGACTCGGATATCGACTGTGGAACCTTCGGGCTTCGCCGACAACTACGCCACACCCCATCTATCGGTTTCAGAGCACTGCTACATCTATCGAGATGGAAAAGGTCGACACGACCGCTCGCCTTACCGAGCTCCGCAAGCTTATGAGCGAGAAAAAAGTTGACGTGTATAGTAGGCTAGCTAATGCATCATGTTCTTGACTTCCTTGGGTTTTGGCGACTGACGGTTTTCTTAAGTCGTCCCGTCCGAGGATAGCCACTCTTCCGAGTATATTGCCCCGTGTGATGCTCGACGTGCCTTTATTTCCGGATTCACTGGGTCTGCAGGCTGCGCTGTTATTACTCACGAGAAAGCTGCCTTAGCTACAGATGGTCGGTACTTTAACCAAGCATCTAAGCAGCTTGACGACAACTGGCACCTATTGAAACAAGGTCTCCAGGATGTTCCAACCTGGCAGGAATGGTCTGCAGAGCAGGCTGCAGATGGTAAAGTCGTGGCTGTAGATCCGACTTTATTGACCAGTGGTGCTGCCAAGAAGCTCTCGGAGAAGATCAAGAAGAGCGGGGGCAAGGACCTGGAGCCGGTTGAAGTAAATTTAGTCGATATAGTTTGGGGTGACGATCGACCGTCTCGACCCAACGAACCCATAGTTGTTCTGAGCGAGAAATTCAACGGGAAGGACGTCAAGACGAAGCTTACCGAACTTCGAAAGGAGCTTGAGAAGAAAAATTCGATTGGATTCGTCGTCTCGATGCTTGATGAAATTGCCTGGCTGTTCAACCTTCGAGGAAACGACATTCCATACAACCCGGTCTTCTTCTCGTACGCTATCGTGACCGCCGATGAGGCTACACTATATGTTGACTTGTCCAAGCTAAGTAGCGAGGGCCAATCATACCTTGCGGAGAACGGCGTTGTTATTAAGCCATATGAAGATATTTTTAACGACGCCTCCGTGCTTCGCCAGTCAGTCGAAATTAAGGAGTCAGGAGAAGCCAGCAAGAAAATCCATATCTCAAATCGAGCATCGTGGGCTTTGAAGCGAGCGCTTGGTGGCGAAGATACGGTAGATGAAATCCGAAGCCCCGTTGGTGATTCCAAGGCTGTGAAGAATGAAACCGAGTTGGAAGGAATGAGAGCATGCCATATCAGAGATGGTGCAGCTCTAATTGAGTACTTCGCCTGGCTTGAAGACCAGCTTGTAGCAAAGAAGGCGACTATTGATGAAGTTGTAGCTGCGGATAAGCTCGAAGCTCTACGTGCGAAGCAGAAGGACTTTGTTGGACTTTCTTTCCCCACGATATCATCGACAGGGCCAAAGTAAGTATATGTATTTCTAAGACTGCGTCGTAACCTAGCGATCCTAACTACCCCAACCTAGCGCCGCCGTTATTCACTACAAGCCGGAGCCTGGAAGCTGTTCAATCGTTGATCCCAATGCTGTTTACCTGTGCGATTCCGGGGCTCAGTATCTCGATGGCACTACGGACACAACTCGAACATTACACTTTACCAATCCTACTGAGGCTGAGATCGAAGCTTATACGCTCACGTTGAAGGGAAATATTGCCCTAGACAGAGTTGTGTTCCCTAAGGGGACAACGGGCTTTGCACTAGATGCCCTCGCACGCCAACATCTATGGGTACGTCTAAATTCTCACTCTGTGAACTACCAATTTTGCTTACTCAGTGATTTAGCTTCAAGGGCTTGACTACCGTCATGGTACTGGCCATGGTGTTGGTTCGTATCTGAATGTGCATGAAGGGCCAATCGGTATCGGTACGAGAGTACAGTACTCAGAAGTTGCTCTATCGGCTGGAAATGTCATCTCCAACGAGCCTGGCTATTACGAGGACGGCTCATTCGGTATTCGGATCGAGAATATCATTATGGTCAAGGAAGTACAGACCAAGTACAAGTTCGGCGATAAGCCATACCTCGGCTTCGAGCATGTTACCATGGTGCCGTACTGCCGCAAACTCATCGACCCTAATCTTCTGACGAGCGAAGAGAAGGCATGGCTGAATGACTATAACGCTGACATCTGGAATAAGACAAAAGGGTACTTTGAGAATGACGGGTTGACCACAGAGTGGCTGAAGAGGGAAACGCAACCTTTCTGAAATTGAGGCTTATTTCCCCTTCTGATTCTATCTGTCGATTGCTATTTACCTAGATAGGTACCTAAGGTATGCGAAGAGCTAGAATTGCATAAAAGCAGACATTGCGAAGAATAGTCCAAAAGATAAATTAAATGCTGGATTCTTCTCCAAGGCCTTTAATATGCGTGAATTACCCAACCGTTGCTTTAACTTTAGCTGTTTTACTAGATCAAGACCATATCTCGAAGCCACCTAGATGAGGTTAGAGCCAAGATGTTTAAGATGAATGTTTTAAGCTACGCACCTGGACGACTACCGCGGTGAGACCTATAAGTAGTACCAACGTCCGTGAGAAAATACTAATAAGGAGTCCTGAGATGAACCCTATAATCTCTTTTAGTTTAAAATACTAGTTTAAAATACACGGGCATGCCCAAACTCGACCAACCTGTAATGCTCCCGCCAGAGAGCTGCTTTAAGAGATCAGGGTCTAAGCTCTCTTTCGTAGGAGGAAGACTGCTCATCGGCCGCGGGGTATCTCTCGCATCCATTCTCAGCTTCGGCTGTCTGAACGTCACCATACTCGTTCCAAGGGATAGGCCGACGATGCCGGCGCCGAGGGCATGGCGCGGCATGAAGGTTCGTGTTCGTGTGAGCAGTCTTGCCGACATCTTATAAGCGTCTGAGTTAGATAGGTAGGTAGGTACTGAAGGTGACGTGAGGCGAGAGCTATGTATATCCGACCAATTACGAGTTTTTAAGATTTATATGACTTGAATTAAAATAGATACGGTTCAAATAGAATTGACGAATGCGGTCTGTATTAATAGGAGCTTCGGATTGCTTTTGCTTTTTCTAGCTATTGACTGACGTCACTCTATTGCGGTTATGCGGTTATGCGGTTATATAGGTACCTACCTACCTAGGTAGGTAGTTATGCTGACAACGCCGCATATTTAGCTGCTAGTTCCACCGCTAAAACCCTTAGAATCCTCTCCACGTGGGCCCCGAATTTCACGGTACTTCCGGAGAGTTCTTAGCTCATGCACGACGATCTGATTCTTCCGCCTCCTCAGCCTTGTCTACCTACCTCATAGAGAAAATGTCGATATCGCAATTATGAGCTTTATATCCCGACTAAACGCAAGCGGGCTTATAGAAAAGCATTGTGGTATCAAATTTAAAATGCAAAACCTGACCGGTTCCCCTCCTGCTTGGGCTGGTCACCTCTCTACTCCTAAACGCCAGTTCACTCTCCCCTGACCCAACCGGCTGAGCGCCCTGGTATATGATCGCCTTGTCTCCCCGTCAACAGACCGCTTTTTATACATGTCTCCCTCTGCGAGTAAGTGGCCTTAGCCGATGCAGGGATGACTTTCGTGGGCGCAAAAACCCGCTGCACCATTTCGATAGGCATCATTCGCTACCCTTTTCCCCTTTAGCCAAGGCCGCCCCATACGCCACGTATTCTTCTCGCGAGCTGGATATCCTTCTGCATGATGGTAACTCGTTTCGCGTGGATGGCGCATAGATTTGAGTCCTCGAATAAGTGGACGAGGAAAGCCTCGGCTGCTTCCTGGAGGGCTAATATAGCTTGCGATTGCCATCGCATGCCTTCGTCTGCCGGGCGCATAGTTAAAGCTATTTCTCGGACCTGGATATCGGTTAGCATATACTACTCTTGAAGCTATTGTCTCCACGGAAAACATACGAGTCGGGAGAAAGGTAGTTTTCGTAATAGCAGATCGGTATTGTTTTGCAGCCTTCGGATCTCTCTCAGTGCGACCGTTCCTGGCCTGTATCTTCTTCTTCGAGGGTAAGGAATTGGATCGCCAGCTACAGATCAATTAGCCATTGCAGCTTCAAGCTGTTGTTATCCTATAGACTTACGCTGCACTCTCGCCGCCAAATTGCCCCCTCCGCGTCCTCCTCGACCTCCGCCGCGACCCCGATTCATTTTTGGAGCAGTAAACACGGTATACTAGCGCAAAAAAGGTGAGAGAGCTTTTCGGTGCCAATGCGACGACTATGCGACTTGGTATAGCGCACAATGCGTATCCTGCGTCGAGGTATCTAGGTTTAAAGAGATTGGAGTATAATCTAAGAATAGGTATTATAGGTGAAAGCCGACTTGTCAAAGAGAACCAAGGTTTGTTGCGTTGAGTGACAAACGGTATTAGAAGTAGTGTATTCCTATGAAAGAAAGAGGGAAGAAAGAACGTAGCATGAACCCGGTTAACGAAGAATAATATGGGAGTGCGGAAATGGTAAAAATCGAAGTGGCTGGGAAATTCAATTCGCAACTTCCCACTCTAGCTCGACGGGACGCGACTTTGAGCACGCCCCGCGACGCGCGACCCAGCCATGTCAATTAAAACCCCTGGAAATCTTAAAACTAGTGGACCCTGTGGTGTGCCCCTGGAAGTTGGCTGAAGAGGTTTCTAGCCACAAGCAAGCCACAGCGTTTACAGCCCGGTTTCATACATAGTCCTAAGTCACGTCATTAGGTTCAAGGGAAAATGCAAGATTATGATATAATTCATTTAACCGACAAATAAGATCTTGTAGTGGACTACGTACCTACCCATGCCCTGTTACATGTATGTAGGTACAATACATAGGTAGGTAGTGAACAGATCAATCCTCCGATAAGGCCAGATTAGCAGTGGGCTGAGGAGGCAATCCCGCCATCGCTCCAAACCTACAACATCAAATTTCCTTTGAAGCTTCAAAATTTCTTTCTTCTTTTTCCTCTTGCTGCTTATCCTGTGTTATATTTGACACATACAATTAATGCATTGTTGCTTTCGAGGTTTAGACCCCAACTAAATCTATCGTCCACGTTTCCTACACAACCGACGGTCGCAACTCGATATGGATCAGATGATTCCTGGCGATGGGGGCCGAAACCCACTCGAGGCCTGGTTCTGGGAGATGCCCATATGCACGAGGTGGTGGACGACGGCGACAGTTCTGACGAGCGCTCTGGTTCAATGCCAAATGGTCACTCCGTTCCAGCTGTTCTATAGCGTTCGCACCGTATTCCAAAAGGGAGAGGTAAGAATTCCATGTATCTGGACAAAGGGAACCGAGGTTGTCGTCGGCTTGCTAACCTATTCAACCTGTAGTATTGGCGATTATTGACTACATTCCTATACTTCGGGCCGTTCTCGTTCGATCTCCTTTTCCATGTATACTTCCTCCAGCGCTACTCCCGGCTCCTTGAAGAGTCATCGGGTCGGTCGCCAGCTCATTTCTCTTGGTTAATGTTATACACCATGGCCTTTCTTATCGTTCTATCCCCATTTGTGTCGATGCCATTCCTCGGCCACCCGCTATCGTCAACCCTGGTCTATATCTGGTCCCGACGAAACCCGGATACTCAGCTAAGCTTATTGGGCTTGTTTGTATTCACGGCGCCGTATCTGCCCTGGGTGTTGATGAGTTTCAGCCTTATTATGCATGGGACCGTACCTAAGGATGAAATCATGGGGGTTGTTATCGGCCATATCTGGTATTTCTTCTCGGATGTATACCCCCCTATGCATAACGGTTCGCGACCTCTTGACCCACCAATGTGGTGGCGTCGACTTTTTGAAGGCCGGCAGCAGAGGGATGAGACAGCTGATGCGATTAATAACGAATTCGCAGTGGCAGGAGGTCCAGAACTTGCCGCAGCTGACTTGCGATAAGCACGAACAACACAACTGGATTTAGATAGTGTTAGAAGGCTATCATTCACTCATTCATAGCGTTTCAGGTCAGATTCCAATGGCATTCGGTTAAAGTGGCGTTATACAAGGGACAATACGGGGCGTTGAAGATTAACACGGAACAAAACATGGCAACAATACAGGTGATGCCTTTTGTACATACTGTTCAGCCAACTTCTTGAGTTGTATGTCTATTAAGGTCTGGGATTACTTGTTAGCCTACCTACAGCAGTGTTACAACAGTGCTCAAGGGAAGACTTGCATTAGACTTCATGGAGTATAAAAGAAATCTTATCAACTTCTACCTGTTCTAGCTGTATACCTTGTAACCATAAATTATATTTAAATTATATTTCTTATATTGCTTTAAGCTTTGAACATATGAGTTAGCTTCAACTTGCAATGGGGTTTCTTAAACCCTCTTAATGCTACTAGGTACTATACATGATAGCCTGCTTTATACGCCAGCTAAGCCATTTCCACCAATGAGCAGCTAAGTTTTGGAAATGGCGGGATAAAGCCTTGGACCCCCACCAACAGGGAAAGAAAAAAAAAGAAATGCCCGGATCTCCGACGTCACACCCTTCCACCTGCAACTAGTGTAAGCATAAGCTGCTGGCGCCATCGCTGCTAATTACGAATTGGGAGCTGATACATATACGAAAGACAGCCACCTAAAAATTATTTAATAACCACCGTCTCAAGTTTTTTATCCCTTCCTTTAGTTCATGTTTACGTAAATCATTCAAGTATATCGAATTATAATTCAACTTCGCATTGCGCATTGCGGATTTAAACACTGTTGAAAATGAGAGCATACTTATACGATAACGCTCCTGTAAGTGATCAAATGAAAAAGTGCCCCTCATCACATCATCGCGGGATGTTTTCGCGAAAGTGCTCACTTGCATAGTTCAACAGACTGCTGTGAACTTACGATATAGCACAACTACGTGATACTGACAACTAAACAGGGCGACCAGCGACTGCCGCACGACTCCGGTAAGGATGTAGATGCTACAGCCTTGGAGAAGCTGGGCGTGCTATACTTCCGGTACCCAGAGGTGTCGGCCGTCGATGAGCTGGCCAGCAAGCGCGGGTACAAGAACCGCGACGAAATCACAGTTTCCCCCGAGAAGATGGGCGATATATACGAGGAGAAGGTCAAGTCCTTCTTCCACGAGCACCTGCACGAGGATGAGGAGATCAGATATATCCGCGACGGCCAGGGGTACTTCGACGTGCGAAGCAAGGGCGACGAGTGGGTGCGCATCCAGCTTGAGAAGGACGACTTGATCATCTTGCCTCCGGGTATCTACCACAGGTTTACTACGGATGAGAGCAACGTATGTCCATTCTTCCTCCCACGTGTAGGTGTAGATGTATAAGGATGTCTAATATTTTTCATAACTAGTACATCCAGGCTATGCGCCTTTTCAAGGACGAGCCCAAGTGGACGCCGCTGAACAGGTCCGGCGAGCTAGACGAGAATCAGTTCCGCAAGGAGTACGTCTCGCAATACCTAAAATAGGTTAGGCGGTGGTGATGCAAAGGGTTACGAAGTTACGCGTTCTACGGGTGATCTAGCGGATGTGGCGGTAGCAATACTCGAGTCTCGGACGTGCCGGTTCTTTTGTCGATAGAAGATGCCTTGACGATATCACGAATAAAAATGCTGCGTAATTCTAATCTGAGTACTTCGTATGAATTAGGTAGACTTGAATCTTTTTTATATTACGATCAATTCTCATATTAACCTGGGAGTAAAAGTCTCACAGAAAACTATTTTTATAAAACGCTCAAAATAGCACAAGCCTTGCGTACCTAGGTAGGTAGGTAGTTCAATAATCTCGGTAGTTAATGAGACTGCGGGGATTACATAGGTAGGTACATAGGTAGGTATTAAATAAATATACCCCAGCTAGAACCCCAACTTCTTTCCCTCCCTCCCCGTTAGATGATGCCGTGCGCCTCGGAACAGACGAATAAGATCCGCGAAATGATGAGCTTACTCCTCAAACCGCTGTCAACCGATCATGGACTCTAGATCCGCGTCCGAAGTCGCCCACCCGTCGCCGGCGGCCAGCACCTCCGCCAGCGCGCCCAAGGGGAAATTGCTGCTCCCGGCTAGCTGCGAGCCTCCGCTGCCGAACGCGCCGAGGAAGCAGCTCGTATGGATTGTAAGTTACCCAACCTAGCTATTCGCATCGACAATCTAGAGTGTTATATGCTTTTTATTATTCATTCATTTATTTATATATACGGGAATAAGACTAATTGAGCTGCTGATTAGGTCTTTGGCGGCACCGGCCACATGGGCCGCTCGCTGGTCAAGTGCGCGCTGGCGCGGGGGGATCTGGTAACGGATGTAGGACGCACGTTTGAGAGCTCGCCTGAGGAGATGTTGGGGCTGCACGAGAATTGCCTCGGCCTGCTGTGCGATGTGCGCGCGCGGCAGAGCGTAGCGCAAGTCATTGAGCGGACGCTGGACCACTTCGGCCGCATCGACGTGGTGGCTAACTGCTCGGGATACGGCGTGATTGGGGCATGCGAGGACCAGGATGAGCACGAGATTCGTAACCAGTTCGAGACTAACTTCATGGGCACTCTGCATATCATCCAGGCTACTCTTCCTTACTTCCGCCAGCAGAACGGCGGGCGCTATCTCATCTTCAGCTCTACGAGCGGAGCCCTGGGTGTGCCTGGATTGGGCCCCTACTGCGCGACCAAGTACGCGGTAGAGGGGCTTATCGAAGCGATGCTCTACGAGATCGACGCGTTTAACGTCAAGGCCACACTTGTAGAGCCGGGATTGGTACGGCGCGACGAGCCGGATGCTGAGGCGAACCCGCTGCCGACGTGGGGCCACTTCCTGATCAAGCAGCCAAGCGAGGCATACGGGCACTCGTCGTCGCCAGCGTTACACGCAAAGCGCATGGTACAATGGCTCGGGGACCGGCAGCCGACGAGCGCGGTCAAGTGCGCCGAGTTGGTATGGCAGCTAGCACATTGTTCATACCCGCCTTTACGTCTCGTGCTCGGCAGCTACGCCATCGAGAGTATCCGGGACCGTCTTAGGTCCGTCACGGAGGAGCTCGAGGACTGGAAGCATCTCAACTATCCCGCGGCGCCGGAGACCGAGGCCGCCGCTGCTGCTTCGGCGGAAAAGAACGAGAAGGATGACGATACGGGGGATTCGAATGTTGAGATGCAGGACCATACTACTTAGGTTAGGCCTTGGGAAGTTGGATTGCCTAGGTGGGTAGGTAGGTAGTGTTTGACTGGAATAGGGGTTACGTAGACATTTTACCTTGTTGCTGCGAATATAACACGGATTACATACATAGAAAGCTGAAAAATACTATTTAGCACGGGCGTTGGCCAGACGTGTTACTGTATATTGCTAGGTACTAAATTATAAAACTTGTTTATGGAAATCTAACATTAACTAGAGAAGATTCTTATTTGCCAATTGCAGTTTGTCTGAATAGGAGAGCCAGTTGCAAACATGTTGTTGGTTTGTAGTAACTAGGTACCTAATGAACTGAAGCATACGATAATTTCAATAGGTAAATGAATAAAAGCAGCGATATGTATGACTCGAGGCTTAACATTTAAATGAGAGAACCCTGATTGGCTTTATGCAGCATTGACGATTCTAAATTTACAACGCCAAGACAAACCTAAGATTGTATACTACCTATAACAGGTAGCGTATAAGCCTCATCTCGCACGCCACACTTGATAGAGTCTGGTCCTGCATTTTATCTCGAAGTGTGTCTGCCTGCACGCGGTAAATTACCCTTGATTAAAGTAATAAAAATTCCTCTGGCACGCGTCCGTCAGAAACCTCCGCTGAAGAATTTCTTTTTATGTTTCAGTCTCATACTTGACCTTGACCTCTTTTTGTCTTGGAACTTTTGATTCACCCTATAAGAAAACCCTGCAAGAAGATACATACATAGGCTATTTACTTAACCTAACTAACCTAGCTCTTTCCCGGTTTCGATTTGTTTTCTGCGGACCCTTCGAAATCTACAAAAGTACCTTATGTACTTAGGTAGTCGCAATCTACGCGTTAATCGGCTCCACAGTTTCCGGGCGCAGCGCCGTTTGACAGATAGCCAACTCTTTTTCTTTTCCCCTGATTTTATTATTTTGGTTCTAGTCCTCCTCCGATCTTCCTCCTCGCCCTAACCCTTCGAAGTTCGAACACCGCCAGACTGAAAACAAAAAAACAACAGAACATACCTCCCTCTACGTTTGGGTTTTCAAAAAGGCCAATCTAGTAGCCGTATAACCGTATAACGTCGCAATCATGTCCGACAAGAAGAACGAAGACTATGCTATTCGCATGCCCGACTCGGGTATGCGAAGCCCTTATGACGGCGGAGAGAAGGATCCCTTCATCCCGTCCCGGCCTGCGCGCGCCCTGTCCCAACAGCCGCTCTCTTCCCAGATCGCCAAGATCGAGAATAACCCGACTATTTCCATTCTTGCCTACTGTTTGTCCTCGATTAGTATGACAGTCGTCAACAAATACGTCGTGTCCGGCTCCGAATGGAACTTGAACTTCTTCTATCTTGCAGTCCAGGTACTACTACTACTATACGACCACGCTCACGATATATAAGCCTTGGAATGTGCTAACTTCAGAACTCTAGTCCATTGTGTGTATAGTAACCATCGAGGTCTGCAAGCAAATGGGTGTAATTAAGACCCTTGCGCCTTTCGACGTGAACAAGGGAAAACGATGTACGTGTTTTATTTTCTTCGTTGCCTTGAGACCCCTGTCTATTTATCTATCTATCTATATATATATGCTAACTCAGCTACAGGGTTTCCCGTCTCTCTTCTCCTAGTCGGCATGATCTATACGAGCACAAAGTCGCTACAGCTCCTGTCTGTTCCCGTCTACACCATCTTCAAGAATTTGACCACTATTGTTATCGCATATGGCGAGGTCCTATGGTTCGGAGGTAGCGTCACGCCTCTCGCCCTCCTTTCGTTCGGTCTGATGGTTATGAGTTCCGTCATCGCCGCTTGGGCGGACACGCGCAGCGCTAGTCAAACTGCCGAGGCCGCTGAGGCTCTTGCGTCCCTGAACGCCGGATACGCTTGGATGGGTCTGAATGTTTTCTGCACTGCTTCTTATCTCCTGAGCATGCGTAAGGTCATCAAGAACATGAACTTCAAGGACTGGGATAGTAAGTTTTATCTGTTGCGCTGCTCGCGGTTTGTTTGAAAAATATGCTAACCCAACACAGGCATGTTCTATAACAACTTCCTCACCATCCCCGTCCTAATCGTCTGCTCGCTTATCACCGAGGACTGGTCCAGCGAGAATTTGGCCAGGAACTTTCCCATCGAGTCCCGAAATGCTATTTTGATTGGCATGATTTACTCGGGTATGGCTGCTATCTTCATCTCGTACTGCTCTGCGTGGTGTATCCGAGTTACGTCCTCCACCACCTACTCCATGGTTGGAGCTCTCAACAAGCTCCCGCTCGCCGTCAGCGGTCTCATCTTCTTCTCCGCACCTGTCACCGTAGGCAGCGTTTCGGCCATCTTGATCGGATTTATCAGTGGCCTTGTGTATGCTTGGGCCAAGGTGCGACAGTCGCAGCTAGCCAAGAACTCGCTACCGACCACGCAGCCCACGATGAGCGCGAGCTCCCAGAGCAACCGCGACGCTAACTCGTAGACGAGAGCGCAGCGCTTTCTGCGGGTTTCGCGGCGATGTTCCTGGCACCGACAGCATGGCCACTTTGAGCTAGTGCAATTATAAACGGGCGGCAAACACTGCAAGACAGTCAAGCAATACCACGCCTCCTATGTCGGCCGACGTCACTGTATAATATCTATCCCATCCCATCCCTTTCGACTCGGTGGCGCCGGATAGACGGGCCGATGAATTTTTGGTATAGACTTTTTAACTTATAATGAGAAAACGGAGCTCTACGGATACGGGGAGGGAAAGTCATAGTCATTCATCATCATCATCATCATGTTTTTTCTGGACGGCGCAAGAACAGGAACGAAAACCCCTCGATCCCTCCCCTTTTTTTGTTGTCATGTCATGGTTGTTTTATTTGCAGGGGAGGTGTAGGCATCGTTCACGTCGAGATGGGCGTCGCGTCCATGGTCGTAATCTAGATCTCGACTATGCGGAAAATGCTATGCATATTGTTGAATTGGTGTTGAGGGGGTGAAGGGCTGAGAGAAAGAGAGCATGTCATATACAATACATATGCGTACGATCGTACGAGCTGGTCTATCTGAGCAGTCGTAATACACTAACTAACTACTGGCTTATGGCCTAACCATATAGATGCCAGATCTTGATGTTTCTGATGTAAGAATTGCCAAGGCAGTCATAGATAATGCGATGAGGCTAAGATATAAATGACTACCTAATCTACCTTATGTTCGAAGGTAAGATTTGTGTGCGGTTGAGTCAATATTCTGATCCTTTTGAAATGACTTGCTAGATGCCTCCTTTTCCTATAGCCCAGCTACCAATCATTGATACACTGGATAGACCTTGCTCTTTTCTATGTTCACTTTTTCATCATAAAAAAGCCCTGTCAATTTTCACTCCTATTCCATACGCCAGGCCCTGAACCTACACTCTTTCCCCCATTTCCTTAGCCAGCTATATTATATCAAGGGTCCGATTTTAATGCTTTTTGTTAGTATCGAGCCGTCCGTCACTACCATTCCTATTCCGCCGCCGAGGTACTGCGCGTCGCGTGCCGAGAGCTCGGTTTTGCCGATTCGGGCATTTAGTAAGTCTCCTGATACTTTAAAAATCACATTATATGGCAGATCGTACTCCCAGTCGAAGTCTGCGCTGGCTAGTTCAATACGCTCGTCGTCGAGAGCTTTGATGAGTGCGATGCGGTTCTTGGAACCGCTAATATTGGCACTACCCTTATGGAAGAACAGCGCGTAGTATCTATTCAGCCCTCGTACCCGCACAGCAACACCAGCTGGCCCGCCTATATTGGCAGTGAAGTCCCTAAATATGACCCTGTAATTTGTCCAGTCTCGCGTGCCGTAGCTGACGATACCTTCGCCCTGGTCCTGAGCTACCACGAACGTGCTGTTAGAAAGATTGAACACGTCGGCACCATTGACGAAAGACTGTTTGTAGAAGGTCCGGGGCCCATCTCGGTAGTCACCCGGTTCAAGGACAAGAGCTGGAGTGCCATCCCATCTGAGATGGTCCATATATATGACTCCAGCACTGTCGTTTGTTGCCTTGACTTGTACGATAGCTATGCCCACAGCCTGAATTGGTCGGCAGCCCAAACACGCCGGGACCCTCCATTGCAAGACCTTATGATCGTGTGGATTTAAATTAATATGATCGCTAGAAAAGTCTTCGAGCTTGTCTTTGTGCGTATAAGCCCTTAGAATTATTTTTGCCGCTATGGTATAACGCTGATCAGGATGAGCTCTTAGTGACACGCTGAGAACTTGTCCAGGATATACTCGCGGCGAGGCGACTAGCCCGTAGATACTCGTTTGGCGATCGTTAGGCGGTATAAAAGTATCCGTCAGAGCTACTAACTTTTTTGTATGAGCGGAAAGCTTTAGGGTGGGGTTATTGCCCTTGATGGTGTGCATGATGGCTCCTCCCGGCTCTTTTCCATCATTATGATGAACATAGAACCCCTGAACGCTCCCTGGTAGGCTGAAGTGAAACTGCGCGCCTCGTTTCGGGGGTGGGAGAGCTTCTTCTCCTGCTAGCTTCAGGCCCATGTTTACAATGTCGTAAGCGATATCACAGGCGTTATTGATAGAGTACCCGCCGTCTGCGCTCGAGATCAGAGCACGATCAGCTAACGGTCCTCGCCAGTCATAATCTCTGGAATTAAACGCCGCCATCCCGTGCATGATAGCAACCAAACACCCAACGTTTCCCGAGTTGCAATCTGTATCCCAACCGCATGTATTCACAATATGCATGGCTTCAGCGAAGTCATTCCCTCCATATATTAACGACATGATCATGATGCCATGGTTGGGTATCACGTGGCAGAATCCCGGAAACTTGTCGTACCCGTATTTCTTCTCGATTCTTTGTCGTGTATACATCCAATCGTCGTCGTCCTCACACCACGCACGCACGTCTTCAACCAATGCGGCTATAAGCGAATCAGAGGGTACGAAGCTGAGTCCGGTATCTAATAGATGGTTCACATCATTGGAGAAAAATGCTTCAGCCTCCATGGCAGCCCAGAGCTGCGCTGCGTATACGGCCTCTCCATCGTGGCTCACCGAGCCTGCTGCTCCTGCGAGCTGAGCGGCTAAAGCTGGTTCTCCCGGTGCCGCCATAGCAAACCCATCAATAAAAATCTGAGCGCCAATCTGCTCGGCGATCGTACGGCCATTCGTATGTATTGAGCCGCTGTGAGGTGCCTTGATTCCCTTTCGTAGGTTTAAGAAGGCCGTATGCTCAGTCGATACGCCGTTGCCACCCCACCAAAAGACTGTGCGGTCTTTGATCACGTTATTGAGCCACGTCTTTCCGATCTGCTCAGCAGTAATAGGATCATCCTGTGTGGTGTCCAGGGTGCTAGGGGTGCTAGAGGATCTACAAGTTTCAGAGTTTTCTAAGGCTTCTGTGATTTCCATCTTGTCGTCGTTCTCATCATGGCTTTTCTGATGTTGAACAGGGTTAAAATGGGGGGTATAATGTTCCTCTAGCGCCCTCACGAATGTAAAGGTGCCGGAGATATCGTCATCTGTGACAACTATGGGGAGCTTTAGCTTTTCGTTGACATAGTACCGGACATGTCCTAGCTCGGCGAGGATACGCTGATGTGTCCATCCCTCGAACGGGCGACCCATGTATACCCCGATCAGCTTGCCAAGGACACCGGCATAGACTCTTTCAAGGTAGTCTTCTGGAAGAGACGACATAGTCTCATCTACTATGCCGTGCTTTTCCTCTTTTCCCCCCATCACATCACGGCCAGATTGTCGAGGATAAGAGAGAAGTAGGAGACAAACGGAAAAGAAGGAGAAGGGTAAAAGAAATGAAGAAAAGAGGCAAGTGAAATATAGACGTGTAGATACCTACAATACTGTATGTATATACTATTTTGCAGAAGCGTAGAATTGGTCTTCTATTATAGAAATGCGTTGTTGGTTGTGTATCTTGAAGACTACGGAACTACGCACATGTATATTAGGTACCTAGGTATATATTATGTATCCAACATGGAGCCTCGTTCTTGCCCTTGATACCTTGTTTGTGCCTATGTACCTTGTTCAGCAACTGCCCCGCAACTGCCTGTAACTGTCTTTTACGGAAGGACCTGAGATATGACATATCAACCAAGATCCGTTTGCGAAGGAAGTTTACACTTGTGAAACGGAAGGAGTTATTGGCTGTCATACCAAAAATGACGTCGCATCCCATCGCTACCAAAGGGAAATCTACGATTTAATACCAAAATGAAACGTAAATGAGCCTAATTTACATAAAATACTTTAATCTTACACGTTGAAGACGTAGGGTATTTTAGGACCCATAGTTGATTCTTAATAGAATTATGAGGCAAGGTCTAGATACATAGGTACCTATATATAAGACCCATGTCCGGATCCTAATAGAGTCCATCTATTCCGGCAAGTCGCCGAGTTTAAGCACATTTGGTAATACGAGCGGCGAAGAGATGGAATAAAAGAATTTGTTTTTGTAAATCCATGCTACCTTACAGATTTACCACCAAGTTGCACTTGGCCGTACCAGAAACCCCCAAAACGCCGTTGATGCATGCCGTCGATACAAACCCCGTGAATCTTTTGCTCTCTTACTTTTGATCCACCGGCGCGCATTATCATGTTTAATTTGATGGGTATCCATTGTTAATCATCATGTCTTACCATCACTCGACTCCTATCTTGCGACGGCTGCGGTGAGCACCTGCGTACGGAAGAAACCCCCCTTGGTGCGTTCGATGACTTGCTGGTAAACAGAGCTTGGGGGGTGGTTCATAACGACTGTGCCCTCCTTATAATCAATTTTCGCATCGACTCTGGTATCGCGGATAAGATTCACGATCCACTTCTCACCATCATCCTCACCGAGACCTAGACGTGCGCTTAGGTCTTTGATATCGATGCGAGCATGGATCTTGCAGTAGCTCTCAGAGATAAGGTGTCGCGCAGAGTCGACAAAGGCATCAGCAGTGGAGAACAGGAAGAAGTCAGAGCGTAGGATCTCCTCAGCGAGGGAAAGCTGCCGTTGTGCTTCCTCGAAGTCGAAGTCAATATAGAGCGCTCGCACAAAGTCGGTCACAGGATCGCTGTACTCGTACGCCTCCTGCTTAACTATGCGGATGATATCCTTGAGCTGCTTCTGGTACTGACCAGAGTTCCGAGCTCGACTGCGACCTGTGATGACGGCAGCGGTGAGGTAACGAAGGATCCAGGGACAGCTGGTCTGGATGGTGTTGATGTAGGCGGGGCTGAAGAACAGATCCAGAAGCGTGTCGCGAGTGTGATCGTCATTGAAGAGAGGAAACAAGGCCCAGTGGATAAGCCAGGTACGTTGGCTCAGTTGGGCCAAGGGGTTGTTGAAAAGCTTGGTGTCAATATTCTCCTTAACTTTATTTAGTTCCTCCACGCTTCCCTCCCAATTTGTTGTAAGAATCTCGGATGCGAGCTTTCCCCACGTCGCGGCAGCCACCTTGTCATTATCGGTAGAAAGCACACGGAACTGGTATAAAAGATCGGCAGCGGCGGCGTAGTTACCACAGCTGTACTGGAAGTTGCCAGAGTCGTAGAGCGCGTTAACCATCTCGATGGTGACCTAATACGAATTAGAACCGAGTCCAAGTAAATAAGGGGGGGCTTGTTATGCATACATCGTGGTCCTTTTTTAGGAACTCAAGGTTAGCAACCTTGTCGCTGCGCAGGTTTCCGACAACATCTTCACGGCCTAGTAAATCGATGAGCTTGCTGGTGCTCTCCTCGAACTGTTCCAGGCGCGAGATAACTTTCTGTCGCTTGTCGTTAAACTCTGCGGGTGGTTGATCTAGACCTTCGAGTTCTGCCTTAAGGTTTCCGACAAAATCGGTCATGTTAGTAGTCTTGAGAAGTTCATATTTGGCTTTTGTAATAGCAAGGACCGCGGCATCATCAGCGTCTTCGGGGAGTTGGCCGGCTGCGAATTCGAGGAGGGGGAACACAAGGTGACGGTCGAGGTGACCGATCAACTTGGGTAAAAGATCGTATTCGGCCATATCGACGACGTATATTGTATAGATATCGGGATGTTTACGGCGGAAGGACGACTTCAAAATATTGAGGCTGATAAAATTGGTTAAAAATTATCACCAATGTAATTGTTTGGAGGGGCAGCGAGTTATTCTTCAGGCCGCATGTGGCTTGGTTTGACGAGGGCTACAACGAATAATTCGGAAAAAGTGGATTGTGGGACACCTCATTCTTATCGATAAAGTCTGGTTATGTAAGTTAAATGTGGGGTAACTAGGTACCTAACCTACATAGGTAATTGATACTTGGTATTTTCCGATATTCAGCCGGGGATCCATCCATGTTCTGTAATACAGTATCCATTTTATTTGCACTGTCCGTGATCTGATATCATTGAAAAAATTGAAGTGCTTTTTACGATTTACGACTGTCGCAGTTGGCCTTAATCTTCTATACAAGTGCCCATCTCAACCACGATCATGCTATTACCCAGAGCTTTACGGCGGGTCGCGGCCCCTTCAGCATTCTTATCAGCACCTCTGAAACGGTTCAACCTACCCGTACGCACACAATGGCTCTCAATATCAGCTTCTTCGTCCGGCGAACCGTCGATCCCCTCCGAGCCTATTCACCCCGAACTAAAGAATCCTGTCTCCTCTACTACACAAGCAGAACAAGCAGAACAAACAGAACAGACAGAACAGACAGAACAGACAGAGCCAAAGAAGCCAGCGAAATTACCGTACTTCGTCGCCAGGAACAACATGAATAATCTTGGCGTGTATCATAGGGCGAAGCGGGGTGGAAATCTGAAGCTCACGTTGGTAAAGAATGGAGAAGGAGATTTAAAGGCTTTGAAAAATGACATCAAGGAGGCACTGCAGCTCAAAGATAGTGAGATATCTCTCAATAGTGTGACCGGGCACATTGTCATAAGGGTAGGTTTATATTCTTCAAAGCTAATCGTCTCTTACTGATAGCCACCACTAGGGCCATATGAAGTTGCAGGTTTTCAATTTTCTCTATAGTATGGGTTTTTGAGGGGGCTGAGAAAACGCCCACAATATCTACACGGCACCGTGACACCGGATTACTCTTACCTGAGGAAGTAGGGTGAAGTAACGATGGAGGAGCCTGTATGAGTATACAAGCGGGGAGAAGAACCGGCCGGGCAGACAGAAGTCTGTCTTGAAGCAATAAGTCAAGTTAAGACTGCTCGTATTTAGGGACATCGGTTATGTAGTATTCCGAAAGTTAACTCCCAACTATGTGTGTACATATATGTACAAAAGTCACGAGCCACCAGATGGAAGCTCGAACATGCCTGGCATGTATCAGATCAAAACAAATGAAAATAAAAACAACTCACCCCCACCCCCCCTTTCTCATGATGACGGTACTGGATACTCCCTCGGTCCCTCGGTGCAATATAACACCACGATCGAAGTGTCACTAAGCTCCAGCTCCAGCTTCGCATCCGTACATGCTTTTCTGAGTGCAGCCAGAGTAGCAGCACCACAAGGTCCGGCAAATATACTCCGAGCTTCGAGTTCCTGCACCGCGTTATGCGCCTCCATGTCCGTCACCACGATGCTCGCATCTACGCCATCTCTCAGTACAGGCCACGCAGTGGTAGACAGTGTACCGCAGTTCATCCCGCACATAATAGTATCTTCTGTCGGCACCGCAACGCTTTTACTCACTTTTAGCGACTCCAGAAGACACGCTGCGGTTGTAGGTTCTACAGAGAGAACCTTTGCCGGACCAAATTCTTTGCGCCAAGAGGCGCTTTTGAAGTGTGCTGTGACGGCCTCTCCTATAGATCCGGCGCCGACAGGGACGATCGTATGCGTGGCCGGCTTCCCGCCTGTCAACTCTAGAACCTGACGATCGGACTCCGCCAGCATCGTGCTATATCCCTGGACGAAATACTCCGGGACAACGTCGAATCCTTCTACACTAACATCCAGAATTAAAATCGCTTTATCGCTAGCTTCGGCCTCCTTTTGCGCCACGGGTATCACATCATCGTAACTCCCATCCACTTTAATAATTTCAGCTCCCTCGCTCCTGATATTATTCCGGGTCCGTTCATCCATGTACTTGGGCACGAAAACTTTCGTAGGAATCCCCATAATCTTCGCGGCCATCCGCGATACAGCCCGGCCGCAGTTCCCTTCCGTGAGCGTGACGACCCGGACCCCTGCCTCGCGGGCCTTAGCGCCTACATCTGCGAGGGGCGCATTTCCGTCTGATACCGATAGCCCTAGATACGATCCAACGGCACGGTATACGGCCCAAGATGCGCCCAGGATCTTGAATGCCGGTAGACCGAACCGGTTGGATTCGTCCTTTAATAACACATCACCGAGTCCTAGCTCCGCTGCTATGTCTGGCAGAGAATGTAGTCGCGTCTCATTGTAGTCCGGCAAAGTCTTATGGAATGCGAGGACTGTTCCCTCCTGGCTTCCGCCCTGCGCACCGGCGGGGTCATATACCCACTCCTTCGCCGAAGGATTTAGGTGGATGAACGGCGACATATTTGGATTGTTGGCGGATAGCTTTCTCTTAACTTCTGAACATGTAGTTTTTGTCTACATTTTGAAGGCGTAGGGTAATAGGCCTCCTTATTCTAGCTATGTCATCTATTACGCCTTGGTGAAGTTTACTAATAAGGTAACAACGATTCATTTATTCCATGTGCCTAGATAAACCCCACGCCGACCTCGGATCCCGATGCGGTCCCCAGATATGGGGAATGCCGGCTATATATTCTCGGACGTTGTATTAGTGGTGGAGACGAATGTAGTCTCTTTAAACTCCATCCTGCAAGGATACGTCCGCCAATCCGCTGGGAGTAGTATTGGAATCCAATCCAAATCCCGAGACCTGCACATCGCGGAGTTGATTGTAGGTGTCTACGGAGCATAATCAAATATTACAAGGACCGAATCACTACCGACCTAGCTAACAACTTTGAGCAGTAGTATTCTCTAGTCCGGTTTTACAACACAGATATATAGATACTCAGAAATATCCCCCTATTTAAGAGACACCCACCGGAAAACGTCCTCCTGTCTAGACAACTACGTCAGAACGCCGGTCTAGCATAGCATACCCCTATGTTGTAGGGGTATTGACAAGTCTTATGGATTAAATACAGAGACAAATATTCCATATAGTAATCTTGAATTAATACCAATAGAATCTAGTCCAGCGACTTGATAAGGTTAATTATTTGGTTTATGGATTTCTCGACCTATGACATATTTTTTTTTCTCAGGCGAAAAATGTCTGGGGTGAGATGAAAAAGTAAAGAACGGATGTGAGAAGATTATATGCCATATTTAGAATAATGCCATAGCGGGTACTGATGAACTCTATATGCAAGCTACTTAATTGATGCGAGCCCCTATTATTCCCACTCTAAATGGTTGGAGATAGAAAGGTAGCCAGAATGCCGTGCCATAAATCATGCGTATACAGATTGATATACCAGGATCTAGCTTCTAGTATATAGGTGTAATACTAGTATTTTCATCCAATTGCCCTTATAAGGATATGGGATGCCCCCCATATATGGACTTACTATCTAGTAGTTACTTTAAAGGGTAGCCTTATTATTTCTTCATTATACAGGAAACATACCAAAGCCCCTTCTCTTCCTGCCCTCTTCACGATTTAAAGGGGCAAGGGGTAAAATGATTCATAAGTCTTTTAGACACCTTCCAGCCAGGTACTGGCTAAGTCATGCTGATAATTTTATTAAGATATTTGCTGTCTCGCGGTTACTCGTACTGCGATTTGATACCGAGTCCCAACAATCCTTTGCAGTTTATTTCTACCAGATATTGTTTAGTGGAAGATTATGAAGCTCGTCCGTCTTGTTAAATTGCCAGGCGTCAATGGTGTGTAGGCATACACACATAAATCCTTCGTCAAGAGATGTTATGCTTGACCTGTAAACACTCGGCCACTACGTCTCTAGTTATATCGTCTGGAAAGTAACAACCTAGGTACGTGGTATCTTAACAACTCATGCCTAGGGTCACAAATATTGCAAAAGATGAGGTATCTTAGCTTTGATACACTTGTGAAGATATTGCTAAACAGCTTACCTCCTTGGCTGTGGTCGAAAACGTTGAATCTGTGTTTGTTTCTCTTGGAGTGCTGTGAATGACACGAGATTGGTTATTCTCTATGAACCATTCAACTATGAGATTCAAATCGTCTGGTCTACGTTTGTGGTCTTATGTTCATAATGTACAACACGGAAAAACACAACGTTGTAAGCTCTGAATCGATACATGACACATTTGATGCCTTGTACGTAACTCAACAGTTCATTCTCTTCTTGGGTAGCTCTTCAATGCCTATATAAACACTATGAGCCATCTCGATCTTTGGTGGTTTTCCTCGAATCTGTATCTGCCAACTTAACATCAAGTAACTTACGACCTAGCAGCAAATCCGATCGACCATAATGTGTAGGTTCCACTACAATTGTTGAGAAACTTAAAGATTTCGTGCTAACGTTTACTACGTAGCGTCTCATGGCCACGGCAGTAAGAAGCCCAAGAAATATAGGGGGTCTTCTAAGGATAAAGATTCGTCGGACATGTATATGGAGCGTCACAAATCTGATCGGAGCCATGTATACGTTGTCCACGAGCGTGGTGTAGGCTCGGAATCATCAGGATCCCACAGCTACTCCCATAGTGGTCACCATAGTGGTCACCATGGAAGTCACTACGAAGACTCTGGAGGAGCGAACAACCCGTCGGCGGAGCCGGTCACTTCAGCTCAACCACCGGACCAACCAACTATACCTGAAGAGCCGCCAGACGTGCCGCAACCTGCACCGATGAACGAACAAGCCAGTTTTACTGACCAACCTGGATATCAGACCATCAACCAACCAGTATCCGGTGGTAGGTCAGTCCGCGTATCAGTAGGAACCGGGTACACAGCGAATGGAGTCGCGCCTCAAGCGGGTAATTACTATCCCCCCAGCCAAAACCCATTCGCAAATTATAACAACCAGGCAGGGCCCAGTCAAGCAGTGGATCCGGACTATCCGGAAGACTATCCGGAAGGGGATCCGGGGAATTACAATGGCTTGGGACTCGGCTGGAGCCAACCGGACCCATATGGCAGGCAATATCTTCACGAGAAGAAGCACCGCAAGAAGCATCATCATCACCATCACCACCACTAGTATATTCCTCAACCTTCGACTATCATGTAGATTTTAGGGGCTGGCTCTTTCTTCCCTGGTAGGTGAAGCTGATTATTTACACCGAAGCTCTGGAGTTCGAGGCGCATGAAGCAGAAAGTATCTGTATCTAGCTGGGCGCTGTTTGCGTTGATTTATGATTCGTTTATCGTGAGATTATTAATGAGATTATTTCACAAATATTGCGATTTAGTAGCCTCTTTGATATTAAGATTGTGCTTTCGAGTAGATGTATCAGAACCAAAGAAGAAGAAAGCTACCTTCCTTGTTTTGTACGAGAAATCTAGGAGTGACCTGTAAGGCTCTATTTCTGTGTAGATTCCCAGGGGCATCACTGTCTGTGCTGGCGACTGGTAGTTGCTATGGGAATGACGGCCGCATTTGTGAGTGATATTGTAATAAAATAATTTACTTTAATACCGCCACTAAATATTAAAAGCTAAAATCATATGTCTTCATTTATTTAATTTTAATTCTACTTTTAATTACTTTTAATAACCACCCATACGCATCTACCTATTTGGAAAACCTCCAATTCGAAATATTGTGTCTACCAATTGAGGTCCCAAAACAGAGGGCTTGGAAAGATAATTTTGTGCTTCTCCTAATATTAAGTGTGTCATGGCATTAGTCACTGTTGTTCAAGTGTAATATTCACATTTAGTGGCCTACGTCTGGGTCTCCGTGTTAATGAGATATGCCCCCGAGGAAGGAAACACCATAAGGTCAGGAGTGAATCATGAGCTACACAACAAATCCAATGCTTCATATTGTAGTCATATGTAATATAGCAGTTTGTACGTCCTATGGGCTCTTCAGCATTTATAAAAATGCTGCGGCTCTCTTCGATTTGCTGCTTTCTCCATCAGACTTCTACTACCTAACCTGGTTCGACTCTACGATTTGACACCATACTCAGTCGACCAACATGTGTAAGTTCTACTGCCTATACTAACTAGAATGGTTAAACTATTATATTAACGCAAACCATTTAGCTTTTCACGGCAATACCGGTAAGAAATCTAAGTCCTCTAAGGGCAACTCATGGAACGGTTTGTACCTGGAGCGTAAGAAATCGGACCGAGGCACTATTAATGTTCGCCGTCCTGATGCGGCTCCGGAGCCGTCGAAACCCCGTGGTCGTTCTCCTGGGAGGAGTGGCTGTCATGAGACTCATCATGGAAGCCACCGTAGCAGCTATAGTAGCTCCCTGGGAAGCCCTGGTGGAAGCCCTCAAAGAGACCAGTATAAAACTAATTATATAGGCCAGCATGGAGACCAGCGTGGAAACCAGTATGGAAGCCAGTACGGGAACCAATATGGAAGTCAGTATGGGAACTATGGAGGCCCGAACATCCCGCCTCCACAGCAGACCATGCCAACTCAGCCAACCGTACCTGAAGAACCGGTTCCATTTGCTTCTCAGCCGGGAGGTCAGCAACCTACACAAGCTGGATACCAAGTGGTAGAGATGCCAATGCCAGGAGGAAGACCATTACGAGTATCGGTTGCAACTGGATATACAGCAAATGGGGTCGCGTATCAAGCAAATGGCTACTTGCCCCCCAACGGAAACCCAAATGGAAACCAGTATCAAGCAGCCAGTAACGCCCAAGCGCCTGGCTGCACCAAAGACAACCCAGTAAATCAGTACTACCGAGGAAGTTGGTTTTAATCTGGTAGATCTCTATAACCACAATCCGGCGTTGGATCCGCCTACGGGATCGTCTAATAGCGGATAAGGGGGTGGGCACGGAAACCATTATCATCATCATAATAGTCACCACTAATTTAGTCCTCAAGGTAGTCCTCAAGGCTTAACGGGCATTGGTGGCTAGAGGCGTTGCTTTTTCCTTTTTGTTAGTTGGTTATCCTTTCAGGGTCTCGGGGGTTAGAGACGCACGAAGCAGTAAGCATTTGTATTTGGCTACGCGCTACATGCTTTGACTTATAGCTGAATTCTACTACTTTTATCCTATAAACACCCGTCTAGTATGAATGTTCATTCTTATTGTGAAGCCATCTAATATCAGCTACGGAGATTATTGAATTATCTTTGTGTAAGCCTAGTTCCCTATCCTTTCTCATCTGAACTCCTTTCCCTGGATCATTGCTTCTATTCACACCCTACTGCATCCTGAAGTAATACACGTAAATAATATGGGGCTTGAATTCTCTTTGGCAAGATGTCTGCTGAGGTAAAATGCCTTCTTCTAGGTTGATGTGTTTGTGAAGCGCTCTATTCGAAACGGATATTCACCCAGGGGGATTCCTGTAGATGGCCAATTGACCCTGAGCAAGAAATCGCTGCAAGAGACCTGCTTCATTGGTTGGAAAAGAGAAGTCTCAAAGTCTAAAGGCATTGGCCGATACCAGTGTGGCTCCTCACGCTGGTGGTCCTCACGCAACACCTCGAGCGTCACAAGCAAAGTGTGCAATGACTTCAATTCGCCGATAGCGTTCCAAGCACAATGCCATGGCGTATCCCCGAGGAGACTTTTCTCGTCCCAACCTGGCCAACTCCTGCTGAAAGAATTGTCGAAATAGACGTGCATCATGGTTCTGCGATTGAAGAGAGCCAAGGACAATCTAACATGGCGTAACATGTCGAGATGGTGGGGAATGATGGCCCGCGGAAAGACAGAAATTGAAAACAAGGTGCTAAAATGAAGGACATGTCTCCTGTATAGAATATCGACTGATTCCAGGTATCTGTCTATTATTAGTATTTCACAAATAGTAACGAGGCTTTGAAGTTCGTACATGGTGCGGCAAACGGCCAACAGGGCACTAACATGGCGCATATTAGGAGATGATAATCGCTCTCTAATTGTATCTGGGTTCCAATTCATCCCTGCGCTCCGAGACATTGGCATACTAATACAGCTCTCATGGCCATCTAAGCCTGTTGCTGTTGGGTTTCGACAAAGCATGCTAACTAGCTTTTGCTCATAGATGAAGATATGAAGATCCCCGCATCCGAAAACGTATTCGTAAATCATGATACGAATCTCCGGGGCCAGTGCCGTTAGGAATTGAGAGTCAGTTTGAGGGGTCGGTTTGGAAGTAGAAGTCAATTCTTGGAGCATAGTGACTGGTGGTGATTGAGTTTCGTCCATGATATAAAAAAAAAGGGGGAGGGGGTTCAAGTCTTAATGATGAGATTTGTTAATTACTTTCCCGCAGCTAGCCAATATGGATGTTATGAAAACTGAAAATAAATATAGGAAGAAGACCTCGACAATAGTATCGATTCCATCAAAGCAAGCTGACACATTTTTACCAAGACCTATAAGAATAACACCTGGTAAACAGTCACGTGATCCGTCCACTCCCTTCCCCGCTGCACCCCCTTTTCCTGAATCGATTATTTTCTGATTGTCAGAATACTTGTTCTTCCATATTTTCTAAGGACAGGCATCCGAGAAGTTGAATAGAGGTGAAGTAGGTATGTGTTAGCAAGATATTCCGAATCGTCTCTAACATAGATTCATACTGCTAATACCCTGCGTGTTAACAGGATTATCAACAGCAACCTGCTCTAAGACGAGCTCTAAGCTGAAACATGCCTGATTTTGGAAGATGTGTGGTTTTAGTTCAGCTTGGAAAATGATTACTGAATTCGACTGTGGTTGTCTGATGCTACAAAGAGCGGGCGAGGACTGCGCTGGCGCTCTCCCAGATAGAAATTTCACTCTTAGATAATCCGCGGAGACGTAGTGGGTAATTTCTTTTGCTGTTTTCATAAACTGATATGCTCTCTTGAACATTGGGTGTTGGCTGGAAAATATATAACAGATGGGCTCGTCCATAGTAGAAAATGCGACAATAAAATGGGTACCTGAAGTGTAATTTTCCGTGTTGCCATATTGCAGCAATAAATATGCGTTGATTCCCTGCCCTTGGCTAAGGAAAATATTCCTGTTATAGTCCCAGAGTTGTTGAGGAGCAGCTGCGAGAATCTTACAGGGAGCTTTTGAAAAGTTGGCGTAGATGGCTCCTCGAAATCGATTGTGAACTATTTCTGACTCGGAAGTGCGAAGATCTTTACGGATATAAACGAGAGAGCTAGCACCGCGATACCGCCCCATTTGAGGTTCTGCCCTGAAGAGAGAGTGCGGCTTTGAGCGGACATAGCCATTGGCCGTCTTGGCTAGATACACTCCTATCCATCCATCAGCCCTATCTTTAGGCCAATCATCCCTTTCCGAAACACCCAAGTCCCAGACGAGATCGTCAGTGGCATCAAGAACACGGATGAGAGCAGTCTCAATCCGAAGACCTTTGTTCGTTATAGCAAACTCCGTGTCAATGATGGCATCTTTGATCCTTGGTTTTAAGTGCTGAGCGTGAGCAAATTCCTTGGGAGACCTAGCAAAGATACCTCGATAGCTCTGCTGAATCAAGCTTTCCGAGCCTATACTCGGCGGTGGACATGTCCACGCAAATAACGATAAGTCGCTACTCTCTTTTGCGATCTCCTCCTGCAATCGCATAAAAGCCTTAGGACCTTCACCATATAACATCGGCATACTGACACCAAATATTCCCAGTAGACAATAAGCCTTATTCTCAACCCTGGTTGTCTCCCTCATCGATGCCCAGGACATGCGTCTTGCTACGGGAACGTTAAACATGGCTTGGCTATCACACAAGACTGCATAGTCGATCCTGGTGACACTAGCGAGGAAGGTGTTTAACTCGGGTTTACGACCCCTGAGCTCCCATTTGGCATCGTAAAACTCCGCCACTCTAGGGGCAACTATCTCCTGGAGAGTCCAACCTCGAGTCAACCATCTGCAATGCGGGAAGTGATCCTCAAACGATGACTCGGATGGGAGGTCGGAGAGAAACACGAAACAAACGGCAGATTTCATATACCATTTGAACATGGAGTTGATTGCTTCGGACAACTCGGCACTGCTAGACTTATCGATGCAGCAGGTATCGATCCAAGCATATCGCAAGCCGCGACTGGCAGCAAGTTGACATGTGCGTACTATCTTACCGAACCCATTCTCCTTGTATACCTTCCCAGGGATTTGAAAATCTTGGAAAGATACCTCATCATCCTCCCAGGTGTGTGACAGTATTGCATATGTGTATTCTTCCGGCTCATTGACGAACTCTAGCTGATGATTTCCGGTGTTTATTAGCCACATCCTCAGCTGAGCTTAGTTTATTTGGAGAATACTAGCTTGTGCGTAAACTGCCGTAGTCTACCGTGACGATTGCTATAGTAAAATATAACCTTGAGCTGAGAAAAATGGCGAACTATTTCTTATTAATCGACTATAAAGATTGGTTACAAGCCAAAGATAAATACCAAATAGCTCAGCTGCGCTGTTCCTGGTGTTGAAATGAGGCGGGCGCCAATCAGTGGGCAGCGTAGAGTAGATACACAGATTATAAAAATGACTAGATGCACTGTGTCAGATATACCAAGCCAAGCAGCTTGCTGTTCGTTGAGGGACACAGTATACCGTAAATAGAGGAGTGATACGCGTCATTAATGGGCTACTGTTATAATCGAACATAACGGGTTACGAACTTCCAAGTTCCTATTGTATCTCTAGCCAAATTTCAGGTTCCGGCGCAGTATTATCTCAAGGATCATAGACCTGGATATTATTTGTCTTGTTTAACGAGCGATGCTCTGGGGCATATAGCTCCGGGAATGATGACGAGACTCCAATTCCTACCTTCCTACCCCAACATCCTATGAGCGCCTATGAATTACACCAGAGACAGGAAGGGGATACGAAAGTGGCATCACGAGGAATGTCTGGATTCGATCATTCTTGATGCCTCCGAAATTTACTATCACACCGTGACCGAATGATACCTACCAGAGAGAGACGGCAATACCGTAAGAACAAGAACGACACCGGGATAAGGGACTCGCGAGACCCACCTAGGAGGTCCGCAATACCGGACGGAGGAGTCTTATAAGTCCTCCGAACCCAGCCGGGTCTTTCCATTGGTTCTCTATCCGCGACGCGACCCAAGAGGTTATGGGGTTATAAAGGTATCTATCTTTATAGGTTATTCATCAATGTCGCACTTTATTATTTATTCTTATACATTTTTTACATTTTTTAAACCAACCACATGTAAAGGTACCTAACCTAGTTATTTGTTTAATTGATGATGTAAGTATTTACAGGCAAGACTAGTGGGGTGGGTAAGGCTCATAGGATTATACAGATCCAACCAATCAAAATATATTACAAGTGCCGAGGGCTCGAAGGGATGCACCCAATAAAATCTTACAGCTGGTGCAAGGGTGTCGCGTGGTATGCGGGGGCTTGGTAGGGCTTATCTGCTCATTGTAGTGTAATCAGCTTATCAGTTACTTACGCAATTATTGAGATATTTTCCGTTGCATTTCAAGATAGTTTCTTACCTACGTAATTATAAAAAAGTTTGAGCGTAAAAATTCCTTCGGGAAGATTGTGCTGCTGTCGGGCCGCGCGAGGGGAGGGATGCGAAGACCGAGCAAAGCGAATGCCGAGCGCGCCCCCTCGCGCGGCCCGACAGCAGCGGCACATAGCGGTTAAATCTTGGATAAAAAGATATGGAGAATATCGCGACTACTTAAGTAGAGCCGACGCCGAGGATTTATGTGGGCTAATCATTGTATTGTCATCTTATTGCAAGTGCTCGTTTAATAGGTAAATTTTACCTGGTGTTGAATATGCGCCTACGTGGAACTGCGAATGGTTGGTGCTTTACTTAATAAACAGTCCTACCTATTGACTACGTATGGGCAAAGAGGCTTAGTACTCCTAACAAGAGACACACCCGGCAGCGATATACTAAAATACTAAAAGTCATGTGCACGGCGTAAAGAAGTTACCACCATGGCGAAAAGTACATATAGAACTTAGGGCAGAACTTAGGGTCTTCGGTCTCGCGTTTCGCCTCGTATTTGTTAGGTCTCATATTGCTCGTAGACATTGTCTCTGATCGGCTCGGATCGGCTCGCGTTATGTGGCTGAACCGACGTGGGCAAAATGATTGATTTGACTCCTTCTTGTAAATGTATACCTGCCCAGGTTAGATATCTACCTATATAAGATGTGATAGTCAGCCGCCATGACTGATATTGACTTGAACATCTCATTACTTCATCATTTTGACATAAAGCGTATTAACACCGCCTAATTGACTCGACACGACTAAAACAATGGCTATTGGAGTTCCAAAACCCCGTGTACTGATTGTCGGTGCCGGCATCGGTGGACTTACACTGGCCCAGTGCTTGCGAAAGCAGGGCATTCCATTCGAGATTTTCGAACGAGATACAGATGCACACTCTCGATTCTTAGGATGGGCCATCGGCATACACGGGTGAGTTCTTAGTTCCTTGCCCCTTTTAAGCAGCCTATGAACAAGCATAAGCCCAAGTCATGGCCATATAACGTCCAAGATGGATTGGGTACCTGTTATGAGACCAGCTATACTAACAAACTATTAGAATTCTGGATGATTTAATTGCATCAATCCCCGATGGTCAGTATATGCCATCCTTCTATTCTACATCCTTAGATTCCAGAAGTCCATAGGCAATGCTGCTGAAACTTACTAAAATTTGATATTCGAGTAGATTTACCGCCAATAAAGGAGGGTATAAGTCACCTATTCCCACTGAATCTCGAAGCGCAAATTTCTTTGTACATCCACGGAAAGCACACCGCCGTACAATCTACTCCCGAGAAGCCAATTATAAGAGCCAACAGACCTCGTCTTAGGGATTGGCTCTCTACTCATATCCCAATTCAATGGGGAAAGAGACCTATATGGATAGAACAAGTTCAAGACAAAATCCTACTCCATTTCGAGGACGGAACTACGGCCACGGGTGATATTCTCGTCGGTGCAGACGGAATAAATAGTTTTGGTATGTGATGTTCTAAAAGATCCCTTGTCATTAAATCTAAGAAACCTAGATCAGCTGACAGGAGATGAATAGTGCGTGAACACCTTCTTAGGGTTCCCAACAAGGAAACTATCCGTCTCGTTCCAAGCTGTATGATCATCGGCGAAACAACTTTATCGGGAGAAGCATTCGAACGTCAGCTGTCCATGGCACATAGCTGCTATATGGCGAGCGGCCCAGCTTCCAGCAATTATTTCCTGTTTGTAGGCTTGAACCAAGTGAGCCCGGACGGAAAGTCTGGGCGGTACTATTGGTTTACGGCGGAAACAGATGAGTCCATTTCCAATGAAGACCACTGGGCTAAATCTGCTTCGAAAGCGGATCTATACGACCACGTTGTTAAGTTGACGAGCAATCTTGAGTCTAGGTTTTCAGAAGTCATCAGGTCGACCTCAGCGAGCGAGGTCAGAGATAAACCTTTCATAATCCGCGATGCGGAGATTGAGCACTTGCCGGTTGGCAGAATAACTCTGCTTGGCGACGCGGCTCACCCAATGGGCCCATGTAAGCTCCCTGTTACCCAATACCCCCCCTTGATCACAATAACTGCCAGGATCAATGGCTAACATCAATCTCAAAGACCGTGGCGAAGGCGGCGTACACGCCTTCCGCGACGCGTTGAACCTTTCAAAGGCCATCGGGCAGCTCAAGTCAAACGATACGAGCGAAATCGAGTCTCTCTTCAGGCCCTATCAGAAAGAAATGCTGGAACGAGGCGTGCGCGCCGTCAAGGCTTCTAGAGGCCAGCACAGTTATAAGGGCGTCACCACCAGTAATCAAATAATAGCATGGGGACAGACTCCTGTTGAAGTTCCGGATGAGATCATCACCCTCGAGGCTTGCCTCCCTTGACAGGTAAAAGGTGGAGATGCCCCGGAATAGAGCTGATCGCGTCGCTTGTAAGTTTCTTGATGGAGATCACGTCCCGTCCATTGCATTGGAAGGGTTCGGGATTCTCTTGTCACTTTTGTCGCTGGAATATATGGAATTTTATATGTTTTATCAACCTATATTAGTTAGTTACCTATACAGTTAATTTTAAGTCTTAGAAGTGACGTTGATCGAATTAAGCTACCTAACCCATAATTACTTAGCTGTAATAACGAGGCTATTTTTAGATTCTTTATTACAGTCTTGGCCCGGACAGTGTGGGGCCGGGTCAAGCTTACTCTCGTCATGGTCACTATGATTTCGATACTCTTAAAGGATATAATAACACTTGCATTAAATGCGGGTTTCTAGAAGGATTAATGGCGTTATATTGATAGTAACAAAAGATAAATGACACATTTAAAATAGGGTTGTAAGGTCAGTGTCTCTTACAAGTAGGCCCGAAAGGCGGACAAGGACAAGCTAGATGCCTACAAGTCCAAATTATCTACGGTATCAATTTTCGCAAAGTTGCTATATATTTTATCTGCTAGGTGCCTAACTGTCGCAATGCAGTGATAGATGCATGTCGGGTATTGAGCAAGTGGCCAACTTCAAGGTTGATAGGTAGGTACCTAAGGTACGTTCATGTCAAAAAGGAGGTTGTAAGAGTTATCCTAGCGTTATGTATGCAACCCTTCAACAATCAGACAATTATACACCTCTGCAACTCACGAAGATTCAACAACAAATATAATTAAGGGAATAAATATCAAAAAGTGTCAAGTTTATCAATCTACTTCTTAAACTTTTATACGGTAGAATATAATTTTGAAAATGAGCTTTGGGCACGATAATTCATATATGCAGTTCTTTAAAAGACTTATCATACTCGTACGTTCGTTACGGCTATAAGTACGCTGGGGGTAACACTACGATTATTGACTAAGATACCTAACCATATCTCCGTGTTCCTCTTTAAGCTTCTACGGACTTGTATTCCGAACCAAGACGACTACGTTAACCTTTAATCGTCATCCTGACGACAGCAGTTTCGTAGGTACTACCCAAGCTAGCCTGAGCGTGTTACTCCTACTACCAATCAAGCTATTATTCTCTCCTTCCTATTTAGTTTAAGGCTTTGGAGTGTTGACGAAACTTGTTTCCTAACCACGCCACAGTAAGCGCATGATTTAGGCAGAGGAAGACATTCGCAAGTCGAGAGGCATTGTTGCCGGCCAGGTACATTGAGAATACACGTAGATATATGCCGCTTCGGTAGTTTTGCGTCGTGATACAGCGTGTTTCTTCTGTGATTGGCGTCTGCTAAATGGTTGGGCCGAAACGTTTCGTCGGCTAATAGGTAGGTACCTCCTAGCTCAGCTTCTGGGATTAGGTGGTACGCGTGGATGTTGATGAATGTAGTCAAGATACTAATGAGTATCTCATTACGTGAATGTAAATTCAATATCTGACTACTGGGATACAAGAATTCTGAGAATCAAGTTCCAGAACTTATCATCACCACAGAATTATGGCGTGAGGCAATTTATGAATGATTTGTTCAATGGGAATAAGAGGAAGCCACTAGGCCTGATATACTGTACCACAGGCGTGGGTAGAACGTACGGCACGACACGTGTGGGTTGTACAATGTATGTTCGTGAGAGGTAGCCTGTAAGGTCTTTGTAATGTGCCGCCAGTTCTAGATCTGGTTCCTTGGTAGAGCTTAGGTGGGCATAAATGGAGAAACTCGCGGGTCAGAACTTTAAGGGCATTAAGCGTGATACATTCCCGGTATCAAAACGCGAGACTAGTATTATCTAGTATGTATTTCTTCACGCTTTCTACGAGGTGCATATTATTTATTTATATGTGGATTTTGCCCTTCCAATCATGGGAAGTAAAGTTGGCAACTGACTCAAGACAAAAGACTTCTGCCTTGATTTTCTTTCCTCCGGAGCTTATGGAGCGAACCAACAACACAGAGTGTTTATCTTTAAGTTTCTCTCGCTTGGGCGACATTGTCCTTTGGTATCCGGTCTATTAGCCGGTTACGTGTGGGCACAGCCATATGTGGAGGTAACATTGTAAAGGAGATGCTGTCGGGGAAGGCTGAGGAGAAAAATGTACCTAACCGAAAAACGATAAGTCGAGCCGAAAATCCTCAGCCGAAGAGACCGAGGCTGACCGAGAGCGAGCACTAAAATACAGGTGATAGACCGCATGCTGGCCATATGCTGGCCGTACCCACTAGCTGAAATCTGAAGTGTAATAACTGGATAAGTTCATAGTTCTCCTATTAAGAATCTTACGCCATGTAGATCATCTATATTCTGGAGCCTAACGAGCCTCCCTTCACTTCCAAGCTTTCAGTCTACGCCGGTCGAAACGAAAATGTCACCCATAATATCATATTGGTGCAAACGCACCCAATACTAGATGCCGGCTGTCGTTTTTGACCACCCGTTTGCGTGGGAGTCATATGTCACATTTCCGTATAGGGGGTGTGACGGCTGCTTGCATTGTAGAAGATGCGCATCTCAAGCCACCAAAGATTCCGTAGACCCCAAATATCGGCATCGTGGTTTATCGCCGAGTCGGCTGTACGATGGCACAGGGGATTGCCGACCAGTAATACATGTCTCCAAATCTACTTAACATGCCACAAACAAGAGATGAGGAGAATTATGTAGGTTTACTCATGTATGCTACCATCCTGGTTGACAGCTGGAACGCCACATGATTCGAAGCCTCGCTTCCTTTTAATGCGTAACATGCCAGGTATTTCTCTTGCACCAACAACACTTCTTCAGCCAACGGCTGTCCACCCAGATATGCAGCTTTGCGAACAAAGACATTGTGCATTATCACACATGCGCAGAATCGCGGCATCTGTTGGCTCGTTTAGCCTCGAGCTTCAGCCAGCGATGATGACGTCGATAAGTATACCGGCTTTTTGCTTTCAGTTCGGCCCGTAGCTTCTAGCCCATACATGAGGTCGCCTCGCTCGACTCGCTTCTGCTTAGGAGTTCCTAGCCTAGGTAGAGTTATACGAGATGCAGATAGCGAGAACTATTGCGCAACTATGGTATTTCCCGCCCACCTGCCCAGCCTTGTGGGATTTCCGACAAAACCAAAAGAATAAAGACTGAGGAGTAAGGTAATATAAATGTTCCAGTGCCATATTCTGTCTTTTTAAATATTTTGAGGGTCGGGCATTATGGGTGTTGCAACTCCATTGACAATTCTCGCACAACAAACATCTGCATCCGTCACGGGACTTAATGGTAGGGCAGAAGGCTTCCGTACCCTTACGATAGCCCAGTCCTCTGAGACACTCGTAACGGTAATTCCGCTGGGTAATGACGAAGGATGGACTCAGACGAGAGCGAACGTGGCGGTCCTCGAGACAATGTCTCCCACACCAACTCCAGCACCTGCTAACTCTAGCGGCAACTCTGCTGCCACTGCTCTTATAGTAATGGGAGTTATTCTTGCAATATCCCTTTCACTTCTCTTCGTCTACTTTTGTTGTTGTAGAAACCGCAAAAGTTCCCCTGGTGGGCGCAGGTCGCCGAAGAAGGACTACTACAATCGTTATGCGCATTTCAAAGTCGTTCGTGGTCCACCAGGTCCACCAGGTCCACCAGGTCCACAGGGCATTCCTGGACTTGATGTAGGGTCTCCCCGTTTCGTGTAATATTGAAGCTTAGCTAATATCTCTCTTCTAATGACCTCTAGGGTGCTCCAGCAAGTCTTTCCTATCATATGGATATATTTAATTTGGCAAACTAACATATTTACAATTTCCAATAGGGGCTTCCCGGTGCCCAGGTAAGCTTTGGATGGTATATGAAGAAGTAGTTAATTGACGTGCTTTTTAGGGTATTCCGGGTGAGATAGGTCCTCAGGTGAGCCTTAACTGGTATACAAGCGAGTTCCAACTAAAATAATTGGTTGCTTTGAAGGGAATACCTGGCGATATTGGCCCTCGAGTAAGCCTCTACATAAAAGTACAACGATGGCACGTATTTAACAAACTAATCTCGCATATTAGGGCCAAACTGGCGAAAGAGGTCCCAGGGTAAGCTTCCAATACTATGAAAATAGACTGCAATAAACAAACTGACATGTCTAGGGTTCACCTGGGGATAGAGGCGACCGAGGTCCCCAAGTAAGGCGCCATAATCACATCAACTAATATTCAAACTAACATCTTTCCTCAAGGGCAATATTGGTGATCCTGGTCCACGGGTAGGCCTCCGGAAGCTCGTATACTATTGGCAATACACTAACATATGTATTTAGGGGGCTGCCGGGGAGCGAGGTTGCAATGGGGAAGTAGGACGTAAGAAACTTGCCTCACTTATCATGAACTTAAGGACTAACCTAGCTGCTTTCATAACGATATATCTGCCTCTTTTGATACTTTATTATGGTGGGAGTAACGCTAATTTCCATAAAAGCACAAGGGATACAGGGCCTACCCGGTGAGTATCTTTTGCCACTTGCATTTACTGGAACTTCTCGCCCCAAAGGTTCGAATGACTTACGCTATTAGCAAAGTGTACTGATTGAATGATTAGGTCGCGACGGTCGTGATGGGAGAGATGGTCGAGATGGTGCTAATGGGAGGGACGGAATAAATGGAATTGATGGGAGAGATGGCACTGACGGTAGAGACGGAGCTGATGGGGCTGATGGCCGCGACGGTGTTGACGGCCAGGACGGAAGAGATGGCCAAGATGGCATCAATGGTATCGATGGTCGAGACGGCACCGATGGTCACGATGGTATTGATGGTATTAACGGTACAGATGGCCGTGACGGTGCCGACGGTCGTAATGGCGTCGATGGCCGGGATGGCCAGAACGGCGAAAGAGGCGAAAGAGGAGAGAGAGGCGAAATGGGTGAGAGGGGTGAGAGGGGACCGAGAGGAGACCGCGGGGATCGAGGAGAGCAAGGAGAAATGGGGGAAATGGGGGATAGAGGGGAGAGGGGAGAGCAAGGAGAGCGAGGTGACAGAGGGGAACGGGGGGAAAGAGGTGAGAGAGGGGAGCGAGGCGAAAGAGGAGAGAGGGGCTTCCAAGCTGAAATCAAGTAAAGAAACGTATCTCAACATCGTCACCCTGCTTGTCCGCTAACCTATTTACAGCATTCGAGCATACCGCCGACGATCTCGAGAATCAGACACCCGACGACGACTCCCTTACTGTTGCCGATATTGTCGAAACTACTGCGGAGGTTTCTGCACGGGCCATTGCGGCGGAAGACCCCACTGCGATGGACACTGCGGCTGCGTATGCCGTTGCTGTCACTGAGAAGACGAATAGAGCGCTTATAAGAATGAGAATAAGAATGAACACTTTGCTACCACCACTACTGCTACTACAGGATAGACCGCCTGGTCTGGGTTGGAGGGATTTGGCACATCATGGTATAATAGCGCGGCGGTATAGCATTGATCACTCACATTGGGAAGGTTGGCCGCATTTTGATATTTTTATAGCTACCGGATGGAGAAATGGATACGTGAAATAAGATATATACTACCTATACATCGCACATCTGAAGTATTATATCATCTTCTTTGGTACTGCCAAGCCCAGTAAATTTCGGTACTCCGAAGCTTTTGCTTAGGAAGTTTAATGACATGTAGGGAAGATGTATCGTCATCGTCTGAAATCATGGTCTATTAAGCGCAGTTACCATTACGCCTAATTGCGATTTCATAGGTAATCCCTAGAATTTGGCCAACCAAACCAACCAATGTCTTCCATTGTCCGGAGGCCTTATTAGGCCTGGAATAACCCTTCAACTCCATGAGAATGCATAGGTATTAATGTAAATATACCGATTTCTCGACCATGGAAAACGCCAAATAAGGGTGCCTTTTTGTTATGTACAAACTCTTCCTATATATTCAAGGGTATTATCTCCTAAAAGTAGCGCTCTTGCCAGGCTTCTCTCCGTGCATTTTCCTTGCGGGTTTCGGACCATCGATAGTCATTCCATAAGGATTAAATCTGGCTGTCTGGGAAGCGCCGTTGGCAGCTCTTGACGCATTCAGAACGGATTTTGCCTTACTGTAATCGAAAGGCTCGTCCTCGTCCTCTTCGTCTCCTTCTTTTCCTGATACTTCTACTTCTACTTCATTGGTGGATGCTTCTTTCTTGGCTCGCCTGGTTAACTTCTTTGCTTGTCGTCGTTCCTCCTTAAGGGCCTCTTTACGAGCTCTCTTTTCAGCCTTCTTAGCCTTTCTCTCTCTTCTCTGCTCTTCGCTATCATCTGAGTCGGGAACTGCAATTTCATCCGTATCAAGGAAAGTGGTCGAATTAGACTTTGGTTTGGATGGCGTATCATCTACCTCTCCCGACTCGGAATCCGATTCGACTTCGGGCGCTTTGCGCTTTAAACCAGCTTTGAGTGTAAACTCACTATCAGCTGCCTGGTTTTCTTCTAAGCGAATAATCGATTCTTCCATTTGAGCGACGGGTTTTTGTGCTGGCGTATCTATAACTTCCAGTACCTTACCCGACTTGATAAATTGGGCCCAGGGGAGTTCAAACTGCACGGCTCGGGCCTTGGCGGTAGATGACTCTTCCCATCGACTACTAATCGGAACATTTCCCCATAATTTTGATGTCTGAGAGATTACATCCTGGATTCCCGAGGCTCCTGTATCGTTACTTCGTAATTGAGGGAGGACTGATTTAGCGACTTCACCAATGCCCATCGTAGGTGGCGCATTGCTACGAATAACCTCAGTAACAGTGGGTCCATTCACTCCTTGTGCCTTGGCTTTACTAATGATCTGGAATAGGTTAAATGCCTCACGCTTGGCTATGTGGGATGTGGAATCAACGAGGCTATGAAGGGCCTTAGGATCTGGCGGAATACGTCTGGCTATGTCGAAAAGCGTCGCATTACTCATCACAAATAGTGAGCTTTCATCTTCGCGACGAGCCATCTCGTCCCGCCATTTGTGCACGGCTCGAAATACAGCGAATTGCTCTTTTGAAAACTTCCCAGCAGACTGTCTTATGAGTAGGTTATACCACCCAAAGGGGCCCTGGCCATTTTCAGCATCATACGTGGATGTTTCATGCCGTCGTAAGGAAGTTTCTTTAGACCTATCGAGGACTTGGCTCATTAGATTATGTCCTGATTGTTCTGAGGTTTGTTGCAATAACTCGTTGCGCATCATGTCATAGATATAGAGTAGATAGTGGGTATCTGAGCGCGCGTAATAGAACATTTCATCAGGTATCGGGCTGTTTTCTAATTAGCAAGGCTTAAGTACGATATGTATATTAGAACCATGACCAATTCATACCGTATTCTCCAGTCGGCTAATTGATATTTCTTGTCCGCATCAAAGTCGACGAACTTTTTTAGCAGATATGCAAGGCTCCTACTAGGATATTGAAGAGCTACTGCGGCCTCGAATGTATCGAAGAGTCCCACGATATAGATACCACAGTCTCGTTGTAGCCAGATGACATCCATGTAGGCACCATGAAGCACCTATTATCGTTAGACAATTAGATGAAATTGGGCAGGTGATTACAACTAACCTTGACGATTTTCGGATCGGCGAACACCTCGTTTAAAACTTGGAGTTTATGACGCCATGGCTGAAGAGTATCGACAACCCAATCCTTCTCGCGCGTGCTGATCTGCATCAACGATAGTAGACCGCTGTATGTTCTGAAGTCATGGTGTTCCGTATCGACAGCAATTTCGGTAGCAGTTTTTAGTTCTTTAAGCATATCTAAAACACCCTCAAAGGTATCGACGAAGGTAGCTGTTGTGGTTTCGACGGGCTGGTATTTGATGGGTTCTCGTGCTTGGAAAACGTCTTCTGGGTATCGTAGCTTGTGAATTTCGGCCTCGTAAGGATGCTTGTATCTAATATTATTGTTAGCTTGCTACATATGATAGACTTGTTTTGATATTCTTGTTGAAAGAGTAAGAGACGTACTGAGTTGCCTGGTTATCATCGACGAAAGTACCTAGGCTCTTTTCGAGAGAAATTAGCGCATGGGGTTTCGTGGTGAGTATCGGCTTCCAGGGCGATGAGTCGAGATTGTTTGGTTTTAGTTCGAATGCATTCTGAGGCTTGATGATATTCGCGCGGCGAAGAGAGTTATCCAGTGTAGTCGATCTTGATTTCTTTTGCGACGGCCCTGGCTGTTCGGTTGGTGCGGTCTTCCTCTTGATTACACCCGTGTACTCATCCAAGCAAGTATCAGCTTTTTCTAGCAGTGTGTCTACCACGTCGATAATGCGCGACCAATGAACATCAACATCGTCGCTATCCTCAAGAGCCGGGCCTTTCAGATCGGTACCCTTGGTTGCAGATGAAAGAAGCGACGTGGCTAGCGAGAGAAGGCGCGAGGATGTATCATCTAACTGCTCTTCAACATCCGGATTGCTTGTTCGTTGGAAGCTGATATCTTCGGCGGCAATCTGGTTGGTCAGCCTAGTAGTGGCTATGAGAGCTGTTTGGATCTTCTCCTGTACGGACTTAAAATCTTGAGGGGGGTCCATTATCGCTGCTTAAGTGCTGCTTTCTGCTAGCGACAGGGAACCTGACGATGAAGAGTTGACGATGTTTAGGTAAGGATTAAAATGCGCTGGACCAATTCGAAAAATTCTAGCGCATAGGCCTAAGTGCTTATCGATAATGCAATGCATACCTGCCTATGTACATATGGCTAGCGGAATTCCCGTTGCGGGGATGTACCTACTTACATAAATGTCACGCATCCCAAGACCTTACTGCATGCACTAAGATAGCGATAACCATATTCTCTATACATCCTAGCTGCAGCTGTCACCATCTTCACTCATCCTTTACTTTCCGATGTTATTGACTCTATAATTTACGAATCACGTGTTAGCATTGATATTCTAATATGTCTGCCTCTCTGGCGCCAGAGTGTAACGAAGTAAAGGAGTAAGTTCAAGATCCTAATACAAATTTTATAAAAGCTGATGGCTGTAGGCGATACGACACTTGCTTTCTTAAGTGGTATAGCGAGAGTATGTGTGGAATTAGTGTTATTTCTCAGTTTTGTCTAACAATCTATAGAATACCTGCGAGGCAATGGCAAAGCGGACGATAATGAGTGCGCTAAACTTTTTAAAGATTATCAAAAATGTCTCCAGGTTGGTAACGAAATATTGAGCCCTTAGTTGAACCTATCGGAGGGGTCCTCTGATTTTAAGATATAAGCCTATCACTAACTAGATATACTAATGAATGCAATTTAATAGGTCGCTCTTAAAGAACGAGGTATAGATAAGCTCCTGGACGAAGCAAGAGAAGATAGCAAAGAAGGCAACGCTCTTCATATGAAAAGGAAATGACGAAACCCGAGAGACGACCTCATTAACTGGGCCGTAGAATGTGCCGAGTGTCCGAACTGCTCCATTAGAAATGAATAGGTCATTAGACTAGGAGCTGAAATGTTTGGGCTAACTGCATATGAGTCTCAGCCAGCCAGTCAATGCAGCCAATGTTATCCTTCTAAATCAACCCCGCGGTTCTTTGCTCGGCTTTTACCAACCGAGCTCAGCCTCACCGTGTCCTAGCTGAAGTGACGATCGCTAGCAAAATGAGACCAACAGATGAAATGAGATGCAGAACAGGGCTATTACAGCGAAGCGAGGTAACCGTAATAACTTGGCGGGTTATTAGTGTATGTTAGGTACAGAGGAGGTAGCTTAGGAAAATGGGGGATGGGGGATGGGGGTAAGGGCTCGTATTCAGTACCCTTACCTAGGCACCTTAGGTAGATAACCCAGCTCCAACTATTTAAAATGTGTTAAGGCCCCTCTCGATTATCTCTACTGATTTCTCCCATCTTGTGTAAGCTCTTTGTCTTCCGTGAGTATAAACAACTTTCAACTCAAGGCTTGCACAGCACGTTAGGTTAATAATACCTTGGAAGTGGTAGGTTGAAATATTGAGCGACAATGTATTATTATAACGTTTTACATTCCGTATATAATAAACTCAACTTATTCGAACCCCATTTTATTTGACCTGAAATTGAGTCCAAGGTCATGGTCCAATTGTGAGGTTGTTTAGATTACCTAGGTAGGCAATGGGACTGAATCGGCTTTTTTTGGTTTGCCAACCTATTTAACAGTGGATCGGCAGATCGGAGCTTTACAAAAGACTCGGGGCGGCCTCGACGTCAGTTGGAAGGGTCGATCACAACCCAGCTAATTTTTTTGTGGCTAATAAACGGCTTTGGAGTCTATCGATAACCTAAAAGTACACGCAATACGCAATGCAACCCTGCAAGTTTAAACTGCAAGGGGCAGTAACAAACATCTTCAACATTCAAGCTCGCAAGCTCGGCTGCCTTTAACCAATCTTCTCTTATCACATCTCGTCGCTTGTTATACGTGTCGAGCTGGTTCACAGCTAGTAACTCAGAATACGAAGAACTACAAAACAACCTTGTGCGACAAATATCGACAAAGCTGGCGCAGACCTAACATTGCCATTGCCGACTGTGACTTCACTCGAGACAACCGATACCGACCGATACCGACCGACACTATTCGAGATAACAATAATTGTCAAAGCTATATTGCCGTATGAGAGATTTCTGATCTGGAGAACTAATGACTACGAGAGTCTCCTTTACGCCCCAGCGCGAATTCTAGGAAAGATAGCAAGATTATAGGCGATGCGACCCGAATAATATTCGTTTCCGACTTCCTACATGCACCCTTTTTCCATCCTCACCCTTGCGATCTTCGTAGCTGGCTACATTACTGCTCGATGGGATCTGGTTACTCGGCTCTACGAATTGGCCGTTTTTGCCTGGGATAAAGGTGTTATTGTGAGTAGATGTCCTAATTGCCCACTGCGTCTGAGAAATAGGAGGCATGGATATCTAGTGAGAAAAATAAAATAAAAGGAGGAATATTTATCTAATGATTGACCACCCTGAATCTAGGCCCGCGCCGCCCAGGGATTTGCTCTCTTGAGTTTCGCATTTGTCCTCATATTTGTACCTGTGCAGCACATTGCTCGAATAGAGGTCGATCTGGTATTGTTGCAACTTATCTTCCTAATTCCGAGTTCAACTTAACTAATAAACAATTTGTAGCATCCGCGATCGCCTAGTCTTGGAATATCTGCTCGAGAACAACTTCGGCGCAGAGGCTCCTTCTAAGCGGAGTGCTCTGACGCTGATCACCTGGTCATGCCAGAGCATGATGGATTGATGAGGGTATTTTGGCCGATCGACATCCCTACGTCTGATGCCCCTGGTGTTATTGTCGGCTGGAGGAACTCGAACCTCGATGTTGTTGTTATCGCTGTCTTGGATCATGTCGACGTGAGCCATCTGACCCTAGTGTACTGTGGTTCTCTATTAACGCTATTGTATATTAGCCAAGAAATGTCGAGAACGCGCTTAAGACCGGTATTCTATTGAGGAATGCGCCTCATCCTATTCCTCGTATATTTGAGCTATGTGGACAGTCGTCTATGCATGTGCTCGGCACTACAAATTGCGAATCCAATATCGAGCCAGACTCATGGGTGCGCGCCATCGTTGGACCATCCCATCAGGTGCCCAAGATTGCCTGTACGAGAGCATCAAGCATTCAGATCGTTCTATTCGAGAGGCCAGTTCCGCTTCGCATGCAATATATATCATTGAACCCGATTGCACTCTCCCTTGCTGACAAGGAGGATGAAGCATCGCATCATACGTCCGACAGTTCCGAGGCCGAGGAAGAAAAACAGGAACGAAGGAACAAGCATAAAAAACGTCTCCTGGTAGATAAGTTAAGGAACCATTCTGTAGTAAAGCATACTCCTTCACTGAAGGATAGGGCTCTTGAGAGAATTGTCAATCAAATCAACTGGTCGTGGGAGTTGGAGCATTTACTGCAGAAAAATGTGCCACTTATTGGAACCAGGCCTAAGCGCACTCTCAGCGTCTCTGAACGTGTGGTAGAACAGGCGGCGAACATGAGGGATTACATAGTCCTTTGGATATGGGACATGGTTATTCTCTACGCACTTCCTATAATACGTAGGGCCTTTGTGTTTCTTCTTCTTGGCCACCGATGTGCAGCCGAAGCTCTATTACTTATATTAGAATGGAGGGCTCGACCAAACTCACCTGCCCTCAAAGACGTGTCTGCAACAGCTCAGCAAGTGGAAATACGTCTTCAGCAATTCTGTTATTGGCCCATGCAGTATGTCAAACTCCGTCTACGAAAAAACGACTGGGCCAGTGTTACGACCAGTCACCCAGATTACATCCGCTTCTATAACAGTCTATGGCTCGTGGCCAACGACGTCATTATCGGCATCGCCCTCGGTTCATACATCATCGACAACGCCGAGTGGGTGGCTGACACGATAAGCATGCTTCTGGGGAGTTATACTATCAACCTACTACGGAGTAGTATCTCTTGGCTCATGGGCTGGCCTGCAGGTCTGAAACTGAATAGCGAGTTGGCCTTGTTCTTGGGGGACTTGTTCCTTTGGGTTATTGATTACTGGTCTAGTTGCATCAGCACTTTAGAGCCTTTACTGCCTCACATGGTCTGGTTCATTGGGTTTTCTAGCTTTGCTGGAGCTAGTATGCCCATTGCGCTTTTTTCCGACCTCCTCTCGGTCCTCACGATTCATATTTACTCGTTTTATCTTGCCTCAGCACGCATCTTCCACTGGCAGTTAACGATTTTACTTTCCCTTTTCCAGTTATTTCGAGGCAAGAAGTATAACGTGTTGCGAAATCGTGTTGATGCATGCGATTACGATCTCGACCAGCTTCTCGTCGGCACCATCTTGTTTACGCTTCTCTTCTTCCTACTGCCAACCGTTGTTGTGTTCTACCTTAACTTTGCCCTAGCGCGCATGGTCATCATATCGTTCAAGGCCATCTTCGACACGCTGCTCTCTTGTTTAAATCATTTTCCATTGTTCGCGTTGATGCTAAGGGGTAAAGATCCTCGGCGTCTCCCAGGTGAGTTCTATTGGAATATTCGACTACGGCGCAACTTTATAGCTAATCTTGGCTTAGGCGGCATTCGTTTTGAACTTCGTGATACCCCATATAGACTTAGTGTTAATTGTACATCGACTCTACCTCCCTTCTTGCAACCCACCTCTATTATTTATGTAAAGGTTGGTTATATGCTAATTGCTTCATTGTGATGGATGATCAACTAACATAATACAGCCTATACCTCTTGCGTTTACGGCGATGTTTCATCAGTACTTCCAGATGGGCAGCCGTATTCGCAAACACTACTTATCACCTCGAGTGTTATTTTGTCTCGTTACGGGCCGTTTTGTTCCACCCATTCATAGGAAAGCCCTCTACTCTCTACAATATAGCATGCTCCCGGCGCGTAGGGCGGGTATCATGGAGATGTGGGAAGCACTAAATTCGTTGCCGGCAAAGAAGCGACCTGTAAATGTATACGCATATACATTCGCCTCTACCGCAATCGTAGACGGACGACGGCATATGAATGGACGTGCGGGAAGAGGTTTTAATAAGGAATATGATTAATGAGACATTGGGCGCTTGGGCAATATAGACAGTAGATGACGATGGTAGATAATGACATTCTGTATAAGAGAGTAAGACGTGAAGCGGCTCTTTGAATGTACCTCTATATGACGATTCTTCGGTGCCACGATACATAATTTCCATGTGAACTGATTGCATAGGTACCTACTGTAAGTTATTATTTTATAAACTAAGGCAGTAATCCTATACGACGCCAATACCCGGTGACACGATATCAGGTACTTCTTATTGCCACTATGCAAAAGGGTGCTATGTTGGCTTCACTTGCAATGCTGTAATTGAGACTGCTGACTTGCAAGTGAGGCTCGGTGCAACGGTGCTGTAATTACTCCACACGTAAGAATTACAGAGCTTCCAGTGTTGGTTCGTCATCTGGGGAATGGCGGTTTATGAGTCAATTCATATATGTACTGGTAGTCGTGTGCGATCCACAGTGAACCAGCTCCTGGACTTGTTTGCCATTGAGCCGGATATGCGTCAATCAAAGCAGCACGTTAGACCGACGTAAATAATAGTATGTAGGTCATTTACGGGACCCCTACATCTGTACCCTTGGCATGTAGCATTCCGCGCATAAGGCCTCAATTGAGCTCCCTCTCAGCCTGCCTCGAAAATTAATGGCCGGGTCTTGGCAGTTGAACACTTAATATTAACATATATAATTTGACCAATTTTAAAGGATAAAAATTACAAAAAGTACATACGACAGTTAAAATGGCTAAATAACCTGTAAATATTTTTTTCAATTTTTTATTTCGTATTGCAATGCTTTGTTTGCATATAATATATGGTGTTGTTTTCAAAGGAAAATGCCAAGACCCGGCCATTAATTTTCGAGTTTACCCCGTGCTGTTGGTTTAGAGGTGTCACGTCGGTTAGGGGACATGGAACGAATTGAGAGGCTGTTATAGGTTCGTTTGGTGTTTCGACATGTGAATTGAGCAACATTTCTGACGATGCTCCTGATTGGTGAGAAACTTACATAGATACCCCGCTTTACATGTACATAGGTATTGATAAGTCACGTGAACTAAATCTGATATTCCACCAGGCAGTTAGGGTAGGACTTAACCTGCATATGTACGAAGTACCTGCCTATTAATGGCAGGTGGCAGGGCAAGTGGTACCGTGCGGTATCAACCGGCTTATATCTGCATCTTCCCGTCGCACAGAAACCAACTGCAACTCGAGCCAATATCAACTACAAACGCCATCAAGAATCGACTCACCTCATAACCTGTACTACCATATAGATTCGAGTGTTGAATAGCTAAAACTACCTACCTAGCTAACCTAGGTACCTAAGGTACCTGACAAAAATGTGTACCACAAAAGATAACAACTCAGCACCCGGCAGGCTACTGAGGCCGGTTTGTTCAAGATGTTTTGGCTCCAATAGTAGGCGCCGGCGGAACAAACGAATATGATCTATCATCTTCAGATAGAGTCTAAATGGTTTACTTTTTACACATGCCCAAACTGCCTGCATTGCACAGTAATTGGCCTAACCAATAATCGGACTTCAGCTGTCCTATTTGGTTTCCGGTCAGCCTAACCACCACCAGGACTTAATCAGGACTTATATCTTCGTTGCCTCGCAACAACTCTGTTCTCTTTGCATGCACGGGTACAGCATATTCCCATTTTCATTTCTTCGACTGCCACTACCTACCTACCTACCTAGGTACATACCGCCATCCCCTCTTTTATTTTATTTCCTTCTGATTTAAAAACTTTTACAACTTAGGCAAACACTGCATCGCGTATTGCATTTGTGTTCAAAACACCATGGATCTGCTTCAAGCTGTTTTCAACCACCTCGTGTTACCTCCTCGGTTGCCTGGGTCGCAGGATCCAGACATCGAGGCTGTATCGTATGATGTGTTGATGCGCATCATCCGCGCCTGTGACACTCTTGATAGCCTTGTGGAACCACCTTGGTCTAAAGCATATCAGTCTCTTCGTGCCTCTTTCAAAGCATGCCTTCCTCTTCACTCCGGGCGTTTGGATAAGTCGGTGCTGCTGGCCTATTTTCGCGAACTTCAGCCAGACCAGATGCTCATCTTGCACGTTATAGAGCAGAATGCAGCTCTACTTGTCCGCCGCATAAATCAGTCAGTATATAACCAATAACTATTTTCTTATAATTCTCTATTTTACTTACCGCGAAAATTTAGAAATGGAGAACATTATGTTGTGTTCGAGGCATTCGAGACATCGGCCGTGTCGGAGCATGTTCTCGCTGCGGGACATGCGTTACAGTGGGACTTTCCCGGCCGTTCAGTCCGGCTACCTCTTTCTTCATTCGCCAATGAACCATTTCAGGAATGTCTAGCAACTTTCCTTGAGCAAGCCAGTATGGAATCGCTTTATAGCCTCCAAGCCTCTGCCCAAAAAGCCAACGTCTCAATCACCGAGGTTAGGGATACAACCGACCCAGCACTGATTACTCAGATGCTTATGTCGATCCTCGAGGCGATGGGGAGCTACTACCAGACGCCTATGCTCCGAAAGCGAGTCCGAGATGATGTGAATATACAGGGTGCAGATTTACCCTGGCGCCGGCTCCCGTTTTGGTTGGTCTTGCGTGTTGCAGCTCAACGGCATCTCTGCTTGACCCTTGGCAACGAACAGGGGCGTATTTGTTACAAGCTTCTGATATGTTTGTTGCTAGCAGACTTACTAAAAGAATCCGCTGGAAAACTTAACCCAGCCATGGTTATTACGCTGCGCACTAAACTGTGTCGCCGCATGGCGAAGCTAGAGATGGACAAGACTAAGAGCACATTGCCTAAGTCGTTGTTTAGCCAGATCTCTCCCTTGATCGAAAGGGTAATCCGGGAAGCGACCAAGCAAATTGAGAATGCTTGGGAATCTTTCAAGAAAGCTAACACACGGCGTGTTCCAGTGCTCCCTCTCTATGCGGATCAACACGCACTTAACCTCTCTCTCCCCAATAGTGGAGGATACCTCGATCGTCTCCTATATAACCAGCCACCGCGAAAAGCCGGTATGGCATCGTTGAATCTTCCGCAACCACTTGATAAAGCTATCCAGCAAACACAAGATTTTACAGATCATATATTCCGTCTCGCAGATATAGAGTCTCGTGTTGAATACAGCCAGCTGTTCGATTGGGATAATATGAAAGGGATTATGACTCGTTGTATCCAGACTGCCAAAGAGATTGATGATGTTTTTGCTGAAGTTGGTACGACTTATGAGTCGGATCCAGAGCAGATGAGCTCTATGATTCTCACCTTGTTTACTTCATGGGTTCGTTTGGATAGATGCGCTGTTACGGCGTGTCCTCTCCTTAATGATTATCGACGTGTTTTTAGGCCCGAGCTCCTCGACGTCCTCCAGCTACCTACGATGTCTGAAATGCGCCGCCTTCAAGACATACAGGCTTACTTAGCCCAGAAGAATTCCAAAAGTCGCTACGGTACTATATTCGACAGGTTCGATAACAACTCTCTAGCGGTGCGCTATGTTGCCCAGTCCGACGAGATGCGATTGTTAGGCCAGCGCATTCAGGCTGCGTCCAATCAAGCTCGTAATGCCAAGGAGGCCGAATGGAATAGGACCTGCAAACAGTACGATGATCACACAGAAGGATTCGCAGAGGGAACTTGCTGCTGCTCGTGGAACAATGGGCAGCGCGATGTGCGAGGATGTGAGGCATGTTGGCACGCGCGTGCTCGGAAGCGACTGCAGATCGAGATACATGAAGCATTTCTCCCTGAAAATGAACCCGCCAGGTCTGTTTTGATATTTGAATTGGCTATTCCTCAGTACCTTTCAGCCTACCGGGATGCCACTTGGAAGATCCTATCGCTTCTAGCGCACCCAAGCCGCCCCAATAAGTCTTCAAATCCAGCGATAGAACTCACAAACTGCCCACCGCTGCAACCTTACATGACAGCCGAAGCACGAGGTATATCTCTGGCGTCGTCCATCAAATGTTTCAGCCAAACGCACTACAAGTTTAATAGAGGCAAAGCACCTCTTTCCCGTGTAATCCTCCCCCTCGGTGCAGAATTCAGGCTGTATGACCGAATTACTGGACTGTGGGTCAATGACTTAGAAAGACCCCTAACATTCCTGCATCTTTGTGCAGTCAATACTCCCAGCGCACTCCAGGCCACGATTATACCGGTCATACAGCACCCGTCGCCTATTGTAGATGGGCCATCGTCCTATGAAGTCCAGGCAAACCAAGTCGAATGCCCAGCGAACATGTCTGTCCATGAATTCTCAGCATACCAGAAGCTACTTGGCGGCAATGTACGGCGTTGGCCCAATATACTTGTTGAAATGGGCTCTTCGAACCTGAATATTGGGAATGAGGATACGGCCCGTGTTCTTTGCCAGCTTGCCGTCCAAGCAGGCCCTCGACTACCGGATGAGCCACTACGAGCAGCTCACGTCATTTTCAAGGAGGCTAGTTTCGTAGAGCGCTTAGCAGAGATCATAGAGAAGCGGCTTCAAGCTATCTTGACAAATTGGCGAGAACATCACTATATGGGACTTCTGATTACACTTGCTTTAAGGCTATTTCACCTGTCATCTGGTTCTTCTAGGGATCGTGCTGAGACTTTACTCAAAGCAGCACGAAATGCTACGTTGGAGTGGACTACCAGCCTTAGTAAAGAACTCCATATTACCATCGATGCTGAGGCGGCGCAACGAATTTCGACTTACGGTTTCTGTGCCGCTATACTATGTCGACGCACTTTCGCGATCTACACCGAAGTTGACTATGCCATGAGCGCCGAGGACCTGAGTTCTTGGGTTTTGGCATCAATCGCCTTACAGGAAAATCTGTTAGTCGATATTAACAAGTTACCTCCTGGTCTGAAATCTATGCTCTTACGCGATACAAAAATGGCGTACCATCTACAACCCCTCCTCAAAACCGCCATACAAGCACACCCAAATGCCGTCGGGTATGGGATAGCTAGGAGTTTATACGATAG